AAAATTGATTTGACAGACTCAAAAGGCCTAAAAGAAGCCAGTAAAAAATGGAAGTGCACCGATTGCAAAACAGGGTCCCGCACATTGCCAGACACTGAGCCTAATACTATGATAGACCTACTGAGGACTCTGGCCGAGGAAGTAAGGGAATTGAAGTCCAAGCTTCAGGGTTTAGACGAACTAAAGGAAATAAAAGAAACCCTCCAGAAGCAATCGGAACTATCTTTCGAGAATATGGAGTGATTATTAAAAATTGAAACACTCCTGGAAGAGCAAAAAACCCATACTGAAAAATTAACCAAGGAAAATAACACATTGAAAACAAAAATATCCGAGCTGGAAAGCCGCCTGAATTCCACAGAACAGTTTCAACTGAAAAATACAATTGAAATCAGAGGAATTCCGGAGAAGGCCGGCGAAACCCTAACTGGCACGATTCTTAGCGTCAGAGCGGGTTTGGGCGTCAAGTTGAGTCCGGACGATCTCGATCACGCCGTGAGACTAAGACCCAAGCAAGAAGGGACCCCCGGCCCAATTATAGTCAGATTTGTCAGACAAGCATCTTTATTGAGAGATGAGCTGGTCTGGCAACGAAGAGCGAAGAAAGGTTTCTCTACACGCCATCTAGGCTGGGGAGAGAACGACTCGCACCGTGTCTACGTGAGTGAAGCCATGTCGCCCACCAATAAACACCTTTATTGGTTAGCCAGGCAGAAGAGGGTGACAGCAAAAATAAGATACGTCTGGTTCAGTGGGGGTAAAATTCGTTGCAGACAATCAGATGGAGGTCCAGTAGTAATAATAGAAAAAACGAGTGATCTGAAAAAAAAGTGATCTGGACCTTTTCAGCTGAACTTAGTATATAAGTTACTTTCAGCTTGTAATTAATTTACTTTCTCTCGCTAGAAATATATTTATTATATTTTTTTTCATTTCCAGCTTTCTTTATTTTTTTATAAATGTAGCTTCTCTTGTTTTTTTTTTTATTTTTGTATCAATTTTTACTCATCAGAAATATTATTATTTTAATTTTAAGCTTCTTTTATTTTTGTATAAATTATTTAGAACTTTATTCCATTCCTTGCCAATTTTTATCAATTTATCTAGACCAAGGAGAAATTTATATTTTCTTATGTTATAAATTAATTTTAACTGAATATTTATTTCGAAACATTGAAAATTTATTTTTTTCATCTCAAAGTTTATTTTATGTTAGCATTGTTTTTTAAATTTCTAAACTTGACATTATGCTTAAGAAATGCTATATCCTATCCTCCATCCTCGATCATTTTTTTTTTTCAAAATCCTACTTCCCAACTCTCCAGTCATGACTAATATCCTGAATTTCTGTCACATCAATGCACAATCCCTTACAGCACACTATGATGAATTTCAGGAACATTTCCTTGATAATTTTTACCATATAATAGCAATATCCGAAGCCTAGTTAAAACCTTTTATCCCTTACTCCCAGATTTCCCTACCCAATTATTCCTTCCTACTATTGTAGTAGTATAGAAAAGTAAAATTGTAAAGTTACTACTGTAAATATGTATATACATTATTAGAGCATTCTTCATAATAAACATTATTTTTATTTCATGTTTATTTTTAAGTTTTTGTTTTTTATTTTTAACTGATCTAAATTATTAAGTAACTTAAATTTTTTCTATTATTTTGACTATTTAATTACTCTATATTTTTGTTTATGTATCTCTAAGGCTCCTTAGCCCACATTATTGTCTTTTTATATTATTCTAAAAGGACTCGTCCCAGAATAAATAAAGCATTATTATTATTATTATTATTATTGAAGAGAAGAATAGTTGGGGTGGTCAGTCAAAAAAGAAGGCAAAAATAAATGATAATATTTATTTTAACATATGCTGACGTTTCGACCTGAAGTTCAGGCCTTCATCAGGGCTAAGAAAATAACCAGATAACAAGGTATGAGAAACATAAGTAGTCATGGTAAATTAATAATAAAATGGTAATTATTATTATTATTATTATATTAATTCCAATTTGAAAAAAAAATTTACGAACTAAAAAAATTTCCTGACTTTAAAAATTTTCCCCTGACTTGGCCATTTTTCCAGATTTTCCAGGTCAGTTGCCACCCGGAGTTCACAAGTACTAGTACAGTTAGCTTTCTTTTGTCTATTGCAGTATGTTTGTCAATTGCGATTTTAACTAGAGCGGATCGAGTGAAGAAGCCCGGGCGGAAGCCAGATTGGAGAGGATCAGGAAATTGGAACTCTTTGAGGTAAATGAATATTTAGGATTGGATTATTCTTTCAAGGGGTTTTGACAGGTTAGAGAGAATGGAAATTGGGCAGTAATCTTCAAGAGAGGAGGGATTAGGGTTTTTGTAAAAAGGATGGACTAAACTTTTTTTCCAAGAGGTAGGAAAAACACAGAATTTCGGAGGGAAAAGTTATAAATGAATAGAAGAACTGGAAGGATATTGAGAAGGCACAGCTTTAGGAATTTGAGGGGAATTCCATTGTAGCAGCCTTTCACGGCCCTTCATGAAGTTCCCGTGCCTGCTACGAGACCTTTTTTAGTAAATATATTACATGTAAAAATGCATTTTTTATTGTTATATCTGTACTTTCAATATATGTTTATTTTATTAAATAAAGTTGAAGCTATATAAATCAACTGATCAAAAAAATAATATCAGTATATTCGGGTAAGACTCTCGTTACTCATGTTTTGCATGAAGGAATGATCCTCCTAGCTCTCAGGCTGGAAAATCAGACTTTCTCAGTAGTTTGATCAGTATATTCTATACACGCTTTTTGGTTCTTCATTAAAACTGCATTTTATTTCACTATGCTACTTTAACCTTTATTCCTATTCTCTCTCCATACAAGATCTGGATGCTCATCCATCCGCTTATGCTCCTATGTATCAAGTCAGGAGGCTCATCCCTCCATTAGTATTTCATCCTCCCACAAAGTCAGGAGATTCATCCCTCCGTTCCTGCGGAGTGTTAAGGTTCATCCCTTCCCCAGCAAACCAAGAGTAATTCGGGTGCTCATCCGCCTGACACTTGAAGTAATCCTGTCTAAGCCTCTTCCTTCATCCACTAAGTCATATAACTCTAAACTGAACATGCTCTGATAACTGTATATACTGTACAATACCTCAACAATATCAAATCCAATAGAGTTGAAATGGGATTTCATAATGGAGGAAATAAATTCCGGAGGAGAGATATAGGAAAAATAAAAATTGTCACTATTGAATGAAGATGATACAGAAATGTGAGGAGGAGGGTAGAAAATAGGAATTTAATGCATCAGGAGAAACTGGGAAACCAAAGAGGAAGAAGATTTATAAAGAGGCAGTTTTCGAAGTAGATGCCATTTAGATTTAGAATCGGGAGCAGAGGAGAAGGCTTCATGAAAATATTTGGATTTCACTTGCCTGGTCATTGTTTGTGTCAGGTAGCAGAGTACCCTAAATGCTTCATATTCATCTGCAAGTTTCGTCTAAAGCTACCTCACGTCTTTTTCAGATATCTCGAATTTGCTGATACATCCAAGGAGCAGGTTGGCAGTGGAATGTAGAGGTTTTAAGAGGGGTATGGGTATCAAGGGCACAGAGGAGATTAGAAATCCGAATATCAAGCATGGAATCAATTTAGGAGCAGGTATAAATATCATTCCAATTCAGGGTTTCAATGCCTGGCAGGATATTTTCACGAGTAAGGGAGTTTATATAACGGAAATTTATTGTTATTATTAAGGAAGGATTGCAGAAGTCTGGATATTGTGGATAGTTGGATGAGGTCATGAGAAGAGGGGAAAGGAACAGTTAATTGGGAAGAAGATATAAGGTTCTGCACAGAATTAATGACAAACAAATACATAAAAACACTAAAATAGTGAAAAAAAAACTATTTTATTTCAAGCCAATGTTTTAACCAGACTTTGCAGGTCTTCTTCAGGGCTAGAAAAAACAAGATACAAAAGGATATAGAAAATTGTAAAAGTTACAAAATATTTAGATAAAAATTATAAACAATGTGAATAAACCTATAAAAATTATAAAGTGTGAATAGAAAATAAATAGAAATATTAAGAACAAGAAACTATATAAACAGAGTAAACAAAGTATAACTAAGTAAAAAGATCCTAAACTAAAGTAAATAAACGGTAATAATTGTTGTAGATTATTATAGATGGGGAAAAATTAAATGTAATAAGGAGGATGGATAATATACAAAATTATGAATATAATCCTATAGATCTCAAGGAAAAATTTAAAGAAAAAGAAAAAATAATAAGAAATAATGAACATAAAGGGGGTGTGAAGAAAACAAGAAAAAAAAATACAGACTCAAGGGTGTATGCAGCATGGAGTTTCAGTTGAAACTGGGAAAACATGTGGAGCAAACCGATATTGCTGACATGGTTAGGGGGAGAGGGAGGTAAGTAGTTAAAACAAAACAAAAACCAGGAATATTACAGTATCTAAAATTTGAAGATATTGATGAATACAAGAAAAAATTACAATATATATGAACTATCTATAAATTATGAACTAATTATAAATATATACATATAAATACAAGATAGAATTGAGAAATTACAGATAAAAGTACAATGTGAATAAAAAATAAAAATGAAAGATTGTACATAGAACTAAACTGTAAATATAAAAATAAGAGACCATACATTGGAGAACTAATTTAAAAGTATAAAAAAGAAATATTGACGGAAGTTAGTCAACTGCTCTATACATCATGGGTGATATTTAGTCAAGACGCAGTCATTTTAAGGTTTTTTATTTGTGCCGACGTTTCAACCAAAACCGACCTGGAACCCTGCAGATGCTCTTAAATATCATTGATGAATACGTTGGATATAACAGCCATCCAGGATGTACATTAGACCGGACATGAAATCATCGAAAAGAAGAGCCATGCTATATATTATATTATAGCTGCCATAGAAAGCACCATATCTTTGGTACCGGGTTTATTTATTGTTCAGAAGAATGCAAGGTCATTAATTGCAGATTTAAAGCCTGTAAATCCTAGAATTTGCTACTTAAGAATAAAAGGGAATTTTTTTAATTATAACCTTTTCAGTGCCCATGCACCCGCGGAAATGTCAGATGAAATTGAAAAGGATGAGTTTTGCGAAACTCTTAAAAGAATAGTAGATTCCCCCTAAGAATAGTAGAAAGAATAGTAGCAGAAAGAATAGTAGATTTCCCTAGAGCTGAATAATGCTTAAAAAAAAAATTACTCGAGCTGCGACTGAGGAATATCGTTAAAAAAGAAGAATTGAAAAAAGGTTACACAAAAGAAAAAAAACAGGAATACGAACTATAAGTAATAAGAACACATGAACCTAAACCAAGTATGGAAATTTTACCAAACAATTAACAAATGGCGCAAACCTTATCAACCAGTAGTTTCTTCATGCAGAGATGGGAATGGTAATCTTATGAAGGAAAAGACGGATAATCTTGATAGATGGAGAAGATATTTCGAAGACCTCCTTACTGAAGGCTTGAGAAATGACAAAATTGATGAGGATGCTGTAAAATCTGGTTATAGTACCGATGATAATCTGGAACCACCATATGATGATGAAGTAGAGGAGGCAATAAGAAAGCTAAAAAACAACAAGAGCCCAGGATTTGATGGACTACCAGGTGAACAATACAAATATAGGGGTATCGAGCAAATAAAATTCTAATGCGAGCTATTCTTGAGTATCTGGACAGAAGAGAAATTACCTAAGGATTGGAACAAGTCTGTGATATGCCCTATATACAAGAAAGGTGATAAACTTAACTGTGAAAATTATAGAGGCATTTCTCTGCTCTCCAGTGCTTACAAAGTTATATCAAATGTGCTCTTCCAGAGGCTTTTGCTGTTTGCCTCTGGCATCCAGACTACTGGTACGCTATTGAATAATACCGTACAGCTACTTGCATATGCCGATGACATTGACATAATGGCCAGATCGATAAATGCTATGAAAGAAGCGTTTGTCCTACTAGAAACAGTGGCTAGAGGGTTAGGACTGATCATTAACAAACCAAAAACCAAGTATATGTGTATTTGAGGTAGTGTTACTGCTCAAGAACAGCACCTAGAGTTCGCGAAATATAAGTTCCAGAAAGTTAATGAGTTTATATATCTGGGATCTCTGGTAAATAGAGAAAACAAAGGATATCTAATGATCAAGAGAAGGATAGTAATGGCAAACAAGTGCTATTTTTGCCTAAATAAACATTTCAAAAGTAAACTGATCTCTAAAGTAAACTCGTAGCACAAAGACACAGCTTTATAAAATGCTCATTTGTCCGATACTGATGTATGGCTCCAAAGCGTGGACCATGACGCAAGCAGACGAGGGAGCCCTAGCTTTATTTGAGCGAAAGGTAATCCGCAGAATCTATGGTCCTGTGCTCGATGAACAGTCTAATTGGAGGATGCAAACAGAGCTCTACCATCTGTTCAAGGATTTGCAAGACTGCGATGGGCAGGGCACGTGGTAAGGATACAAAATGATGAAATCCTCCAAAAAAACTATGGAGAGCAATAAGCAACTAGGGATGCAAGTGCAATACTTGGTATAAGTAACTGGAAAGCGGCTGTGCAGGATAGGAATGTTTGGTGGACACATATTGAAGAGGCCAAGACCCTTTCTGAGTTGTAGTGCCGTGGAAGAAGAAGAAGAAGATTTAAATTGTGTATTTGTTAAATAAATACAGTTTTTATCCACTTTATGATAAACTGGATTCTGTTTCATGTGGATATGAATGGATTTGGAAATGAGACTTATTTCATGGTGAGGGACCGTGGCAAGAATGGAGGTTTTTTTCAAAATCAAAGAATGGTTGACGGTCAAGGCATATTCTGATAGGTAGAAAGGTTCCGGGAAGTCATGAATGTTTCATGTTGGAAAATACGAGTTTTGAGATGGTTTTTAGTTTCACCAATATAGAAACTATTGCAATTAGGTTTAGAGCAAGATATCCGGTAAATTACATCGGCATTAGATCGGCGTTGTAAAAGTATAGGATCCTTCAAGTTTGTGAAAAGGAGTTTGTTATAGTTATACTTTCTATTCACACTGTTTATAATTTTAATAGGTTTATTCACATTGTTTATAATTTTTATCTAAATACTATGTAACTTATACAATTTTCTATATCCTTTTGAATCTTGTTCGTTCTAGCCCTGAAGAAGACCTGCGAAGTCGGGTCGTTGGCTTGAAATAAAATTGTTTTTTCATTATTTTAGTCTTTTTATGACCTCCAACCCGGACCATCTCCTTCCTATAAAAGAATTACGTTAGTTATCCTAATGAAAAAAAAATAATAAAAGAAATAGGTAAAACAGCAATGAGATTTACAGTATCAGATCCTAGACAATTCTCGATCAGGACCAGTGAGTTGACGGATACCAGATTGTTAGCTGAAAATATCTAGGTCTTATGGATGATTGATGTAGATCACCAGGTGGCCATCTTCTTTTTTTCATCGGACTCTACCGCCAGCGAACCACAAATATTTTAAATTACATGCTGCTCATTTTTGTTGGGCAAGCCAGTACAGAAGGGTAGGAGTATTTTCTTCACCGAGATAAATGCCATAATAATCGTTTTCTTGCTAACCGATATCCCAGATAGAAAGGCCCTTTTCCCCTTTATCTTATAATCTAAGATCTTATATGATATTTCAATCAGGACATGGGTGGATAAAAAGGAGACTGATAACTAAGATAAAAGAAGATACTGAGCACAGTTGATAATACACAGGTCTAACCAAGTGTTGGATCTGGAGTTGTGGTGGGTGAGGAGGGAGAAAGGAACTATGAAGAGATGAAGAGAGAAAAACAAGTTTTAAAGAAAGGATTTATCACTGTCATCAGAGAGGATATTAGTATTTAGGTCACCAGAAATGAATATTGTAGTGGGGAAAGTTGAAGAAGGTTGACTCAAAAGATGAACTAAATGGAACTAGAGGGCGATATACTAAAGTATAAAGAAGAGGAGAAGTATTATATAAGATTTCAATGATAAGGAACTCAGCTAGTGGCTAATAAGATCAAGTGTATTGGAATTGGAAGTGAATTGGAAAAATTACGTAATGAAGACCCATGACAGATATCAGCTAATCTGGAAAATCATTACTAGTACGTGGCACAATGGTTTTTAAACATTTGAAAGCCTTAGGAATGACCCTGAAGCAAGGACAGCGAAAGATGTAGAACAACCTTTTCTCACATGTGAATAGCGGCTTCACTAGTAGAAAAGGAAAAGCTTTTTACATTGTATATTGACTGACGATAAAAAATGGATACAGTATGATAACCCAAAGCTTGTGAAACCATGGGGTAAGCCATCCTATAATCAAGCTTCTCTGTTGGATCAGCACAGTTTAATTTATTATAATGAGCTGCTTAAATTAAATGAAACTATCATGGGAGATTGCTATCAACTACAATTGATGTCTTTGAGGTGAGCCCTGAAGGAAAAACAGCTGATTTTGAACAGAGACATGACCAGGTGATTTTATTACATGTTAACACATGGCCACATGCTGTAAAACCAACCTGGAAATATTTAAATGGGAAACCCTGCCATGCTTATGAAGATACCAAATTAATGGATAGATTCTTGGATAGCCTAAAAAGACGAGTCATTTTTTCAGAAGTTGAATTCATATACTGCCAGAAAGATGGGAGAAAGTATAGATGGTAAATACTTTCATTAGATTAATAGGCAATACTAAGAAACTAGTGATGGGCAATACTTTGAGTGACATTTTTCAAGAAAAATAAAAATATGTATAGTTTAGCAGCTTGAAAGCTACCTTAAAAGGATTTAACAAAAAAAAAAAAATCCACTTTCAAGAAAATCTAGATAATTTAAATTTCCTATAAATTAAATAACACTCAGCAGATACCTACAGCTTTATTGTTGTGTCTATCTAAGGATGATTGGTTGTTATTTAAGGTAGCATTTATATAATTTGGAGGTTCAGTTCCAAATAGTCTTTCTTGAGCAGATCTTTGTCCACTATTATTTCTTGGAGGTTTAACAGCTCTGTCTATTCTAGGTGGTAACTCAGGAGGAAAACCACCGTATTTCTCACCAGAACATCTGGGCTTTAAATTACCATCATAGTTAGCCTAGAAAAAAAATGAATAAAAAATATAATAGTAATGTACAATAGTGACTGATGTGTCCAATTCTTCATAGTTCTTTTGAAATACAACTGTAATATTGTTGTTGAAGGAAGTTAGTCGACTGATCTACATAGATGATAAATAGTATGAAGGCAGTCATTTTTAAGGTATTTATTAGTACCGATGTTTCAACCTAAGCATGTGGGTCATCATCAGAGCGGAAACATTATTTAATACAAGCAGAGATATCATATTATAAGACAGATAATGGTTAATAATGAAAAAATAGTGATGGATGATACATGAAATAGAGAAATGAAATATGTAATAAGTTATACAATCTAAACAAATAATGTATATAATCAATTTTTAAAGAAATGTAATATTTACTCATACTAACCATGTTTTGAGCACTGAAAGTATTCAAGAACTGGCTCTTTGGTAGGTAAGTAAAAGGGTCGGTGGAAGATTTTCCAGATGTACTTTTAAGATAGCAAAGGTATGTAAACAAAGTCAGAGGGAGGGGAGGTAACATTTTTGTTTGTGGAATTCAAATAATTTGATACTAGATAGATATTTTCTGCATCAAGGGAGGCTAAGATGAAATGGGGTGGTATGTTCAAGAATTTTAGTTGATCTAATAGGTGGAAGGAATTTTTCATATCATATGGGTTGTTTTGACTAAGAGACTGGATGGAAAGGAGGAGAAATTTGCTGAGTTTAGAGAATGGAGAGTTTAAACTTATAAAATCTCTTCACCAATGTCCCCACAGACCGTGCTCTCCAAATAATTGAAGAAAATTGGTCTACCATAGAACTACTCACTTCCCTCGACCAATCTTCATTAATTCAGTCCTTCTCTTTATGTTATAATTCTGGCTACTTATGTTTTCAAAACAAATTTTTCATCAAACTTCTGGCCTGGGAATGGGTAATTGCCTTGCACCAGATCTCTCCAGTATTGTCCTAAACAACCTCATTGACTCGATATTACCCCAATTTCCTAATGATATTTTTTCATTAAAAATTATGTAGATGACCTTTTATTAATCCTCAACCCCCATATTATTGCAAACATACTTTATGTATTCAACTCATACCAACCTCAACTCTGTTTATCACTGAAATAGAATCCAATAATTTCCTCCCCTTTCTCAATCTCCTCATTTTCAGAAATAATGATAATACCTTATCCACCAATAGGTACACCAAACTTGCCTACTCCGGCCATCTCCTAGATTATTTTTCCCAGCATCCTTACCACCAAAAAATCAGTTTAGCTAAAAGCCTGATTCACTGCAATCTAACGTTATCTGACTCACAATTCCACGACTACACCTAACTAAACTACACAAGATCGTGAAATCCTACAAATTTGCTGATCAGATAATAAAAAACCTAATTAAAAATCAGTTAAAATCTCACCTAGACCATTCTCCCACAAACTGCTCTCAATCTCCCACCATGATCACCAATACAGATCCATTACATACATACCGGTCCTGTCTCAAAAAATATTTAACTTCTCAATTCCTCCATCTACACATAGTTTAAAAAAATAACAGCAAATTAAGATATTTATACTCCAAACTCAAATATCCTGTTTCACTCATACAACAATTAAATATAGTATACCTTATCGCATGCTCTAGCTCAAACTGCAGCTAGCAGCTGTAGCAGGCTGATGGAATGTTCTTTGGCATGCCAAAATGCCAAGTGGCAAAACAAAGACCTCAGGGCTGATTAGGATAAAATATACAACGTTTGGGAAGTGTAAAATTACTAATGTATGATCAAACCAGGAGTAAGAGACAACTAGATTCGCCAGGCACTAAACAATGCATCTAGGGCGGGGAAAACCAAATATTCATACGTAGGAATGTGACTATTTGGGATAAGATAGAGAAATTATGGAGAACTGAACATATTCACATAGATAGAATGTTTGTTTGGTACAACCTTATGGTTGAAATGCAGTGAGATGAGGCACAGCAGCAAGGGGGGACGATTGCATACTCCCAATCTGAGATCTAAAGATATCATTTATGTTATATAATATAATTTATATAATATATTATCTAATTTATATAATAAAATGAATCTCAAATCTTCATGGACTTCTCTGAGGAAACAGGGCTTTCTGCAATTCAGTCACTTAAAATGGTTTTGTGTGTGGCAAGTACCCCTGAAGATCGGCCTTAGGGGGTTGCCTCACTCTAAGGCCGGCATTGTTACCAGATTATATATATATATATATATATATATATATATATATATATATATATATATATATATATATATATATATATATATACCAGAGGTAATAAATAATTTTAATTGTAATGAAGATTAATGCGATTTATTTTAATTACATTAAAAACTCCAAAATACATTATTAAGGAATACAATTGTCAATATCTTACCTGAGAATGTGAATGTGGAGGTGAATAAGGAGGAGGATGTTGCTGAAGTTTTGGAGAATTTTCTGTTTGAGTAGCTATACTTGGATCACTTGACGACTTAACCAACCTTGGGCTTCCACCTGGATTAGGAATCAGTCCCGGAGTGGCTTCAAGGTCAGATTCAGGAGAGGATGCATAAGAAAGTCTTAAAGAACCCATAGGAAATAAGAAATCATCTGACAGGGCTTCTTCAGGCTATCACATTACACACAACAAATAGTTAAAAGAAAAATGATGCAGTGTTAATTTGTAAAACAATATCAAGATTGTAAAGTAGCAAAATATTTATCACACAAAAAATTTTAGTTTGAAAGAGAAGTTTATTTTGTTATATAAATGTACTTTATCTAGTTTCAGTGCCTCTTTTATTCTATATTAAAGGTGACTACAATATAATTTGTATTGTACAACATAACACAGATCTATGTGCAAAATATCGATCACAAGATTCTTTTCAAAATATTCAAGTAATTCCTGATATTAATTTTATACCTAATGGCTGGAAAGAGTAGGAAAAAGAATAAGAAGATGAATTATAGGCCCAGCTCTTATAAATGTAAACAAATAATAAATATAACAAATAATGCCAAGGACTGTTAGTTTTTATTTCTACGTTAAAATAAGGTAATGAGGTATTCTCTATATTAATGTTATTTATATAGTAATAACATTAATATCAAGAGCTTAATTATACATTTTTTCAAGTAAATGGTAAAGTATAAAATTTAAATCCTTTTATTAGAACTCATCCTAAATGTACACCCATTTCTTGGGAATGGATATATAATTATTTTCATGTTATTGGAGTTAAATAGCAGCAATGTAACTTTTCAGGATAGAATTAATGAGAATATCTTGAGTGAGTATTTCATAAATATAGGTTGACTTGTAAGTAAAGAGGAATATTTAAAGGTATGATAGTAGATTTCAAGAGCTACAACACAGTTTATATAAACCATGGTTTCATTTTCTTCAGAATATCAGGAAATTTAAGTTTTGTGTTTATAAATAAGTCACATGTTTTGTTGAATATGAAGCAATAACTAAAAAAATATAATAATTTAATTAATTAATAAAAAAATTAAGTGATTAATAATTACTTCATAGTAAACAAGACAAAATTTCCTTTAAATGCAAGTAGTGCTTGTATTTTTTAAAACCATTTAAAGAAAAGGAACTTTTAAGCTTCTAAACTAACACATAACTTTAATTTCCTGCTTTTATGTGGAAAATTGAACTACGGTTTGTTTATATGAGCTTTTTTGTAACTCTTGAGGTCATCTATCAACTCTTTAAATATTTCACTTTAATCAACATTATTTTCAATTAGCAACAAGCCAAGCAACCAATCTGCAGTGTTTGTGGTATTTTATCCTCTGAATATTGCTACCTTATTGTTTAAATTTCACTACTTTGTTATCCACTTCAGTCTTTATTCTTAATTGTTAACATCAAAAGTCCTTGTATATATTCAATTATTAAGCTGATTATATCTGAAAAAGTTGTTCTAATATTGGTGTACTCCCCTTTTGTTTTTAATTTAAATTTTAAATTTAATTTAACATTCTATATTTCATAATTTATTTTTGTTTCATATTTAGTATTACGTTTATTTCAGAAAATGGCAAAATATCATATTTTTGACCTATATAAAATTATAATTTTACATCAACAAGAATTTTCAATCAGGGAAAATCTAAAAGAAGGTGAAGGTTCTATTTCTGGAATTCATGTCATCAATTATTGTTTATAAGAAAAAGCAAACTGGAAACTTAAAACATTCAGGTAAATCTAAAAAACATAGCCCTGCTGCTGAACAACAATTAAAATTATTTGTGTTGTCTGGCTCAGGAAATACCCATTGTTACAAGGACAAAAATAAACTTCTATTATTAGGCCTTACAGGTTGTGTTCCCAGAAGAAAACTATTTCTTTGGTTTCTTAACTAGTCCAGGAGACTTAAGTTTGTCAAAGAACATGAAAATTGGACTGTAGAAGAATGGAATAAATTTTTATGAAGAGATGAGTCATATTTGAAATATTTAGTTCCAGAAGGAGGCAATAAATTAGAGAAGATCTGGAGTTGAATTTTTGGATGAATGTAAGCAAACAACGTAAAAAACGGAGATGTCTTTTTAATGGTTTGAGCGTGTGTTTCTAATTTGGAATTGGAGAATTCTAGTGAATAGGTGTAAAACTGAATGCAAAAAGGTAACATTGCATTCTTACGTTTCATGCAATACCATCCAGGATTAAGCTGATTGAGTAGAACTTCATTATTCAGAAATATGAAATATTGAATGTTAAATAAAATTTTTGACAAAAAAATGGAGAATTCCAATTCTCACATATACACTCAGCTTTCCAGAGTTTTTACAAATGCTCTTCATGTTATAAATGAAAAATAAAGACTAAAGTGGATAACAAAGTAGTAAAATTTAAAAAATAAAGTAGCAAATATTTAGCCTCTGAAAATAATGTAAACTCAACGGATTGGTCCCTTGGCCTGTTGCTAATAGAAAATAATGCTAATTTAAAAACATATAACATCTATAATGTCTGCAATATTAAATCAGTTTACAATCAAGAAGATAAAAATACTTTTAAATTGAAAATTACAATGAATTAAATTCCCATAAAATGAAACATTCTATTAAATTGAAACATTACTTCACAAAATGGGAAGAACGAAGAAGAAGAATTGAAACATTTATAATGTTTATAAAAATGATAATGTTTCAATTTAAAAGTATTTTTATCTTCTTGATTTTAAACTGATTTAATATTGCAGATATTGTAGATTTAATATATATTTATATACATACATACGTGTGTGTGTAAGTTGGAAAAATTTAAGTTTGATTTTTTTTTTTCAATAAAACTGGACTGGCAAATTCAAAATAATGTAAGAAAAAATATATAAGTGAGTGGGTATAAATAATAATTTAAAATATTAAAACCATCAATGCTTCATCTCATTAATGATTTCAAATAATCATAAAAACAATTTTTCAATTTTCCTACTATGTCATGAGGCACACAACATAACAAAAATAATAATAAAGCATTTTCAACTGTATATTGTAAGTACTTCAGAATTAATGATCCACGAAATGTAATTTTGTAAAAATAGTTTGTAATCAATTTAATAACAGGCCATGCACACAGATTTTAACCACAGAACAGACATGTAAAAAATAAAATAATAATTCTAGCATATTTATTAATAAGGAAAAAATGTGTATTAGCACATATAATTAGATATATGTGTGTGTTTAATATCACCTCAAATCATAATATTAAAAATTAAACAAAACCAAAGTATTGCTTAATATTGTTATTATTGAAGCTAAGATTATTGTTTGGAAGAGAATATATAGGATAATATATAGGTTGAGGTGATGGAGGGAAAAATAGTTCTGAGGTGAATTCCAGCCACTGCAAAGTAAAATAAAATTCTTTATAATTGATACTAATATAAAAACCTGTACACATAAGATTTTCATAAAAAAGAAAATTCTAATGCAAAATATTTTATAAATATTGTTAATACAAATAAATATACATATATATACACACATAGTAGAAGTTGGATGTGGTTGTGGTAAAAAATGGAAGTACACACTAGCAAAAAGCTTTATTTTCTTGTGTGCCAATGTTATAAAGCCTCAGGCCTTATTAAAGCCTATATATTAAGGCTAAGTAAAAATCAAGATAACAACCAGTAAGGAAAACAGTATAACAATAAGAAGATAGAAAATATATAATAAAAAGTACAAAAATTTAGATATCTTACCATTTCGTAATGTTTAATACATACCTTATTATTTTATTTTATTTTACATTATTAGCACATTCATATTTGGTTTATCATTAACATTTTTATCATCTAAGTTTTCATATTCTTTTATTAACTATCTCTTTCTTAGCTTCTTATATTATTATTATACTGTTTTTCTGACTGTTATCTACTCATTTTTTAATTGACCCTGATGAAGGCCTAAAACTTAGTTCAAAACTTAGAAAAAAGTAAATAAAGCTTTTTATTTGTATATAACTGACCACGACTCCAACCAATTTATCCTAATATTTAATCTACCATTAACAATATCTTCACCAAAATAAAAATTTAATTAGATGAAAGGTGGATAACAAGATTTAGGCATATATCATGTTCTTAAATACCTTTGATTCACTCATCCAGACAGGAGATGTTTGATTTTTGTCAATCAATTCTCGCACTTTTCTATACCATGACTCAGGACTAGATAAAGTGACAGTTGCTGAGAAAACATGACCCCATACCTTCTCTACTTTTTGGCTTTGTTCATATAATTTTTTACTACTTTTGTGAACAGTCCTGGAACAAAAACAAACCTATAAATTAAAAAAAATACAAAGCAAATATTTTATCTACATGAAGCTTGTTAATAAATTTTGAAGATTAAAATTGAAGTTCATAACAATAATTCTTATGCTAAAGGTAAAGTTAAAGGGTTTATCGATCAATAATTACTTGTCAGAAGGGTAGTTTATGACAAAATCATTCGCATAATTGTACAGAATTTATATTTTAAAAACAGATGGTTAATAATTAAACAATTTTGGAGGATAATGATGCTTAAAGTAAAAAAAATACCATGGGTGATAAATATTCAGGACGCAGTCATTATAAAGTTTTTATTAGTGCCAACGTTTCAACCCAAACATGTGCGTCATCATCAGGGCGTGTTTTGAGCACTGAAGGTAAAACAAATCCAAACACAGATTAAAACACACCCTGATGATGACCCACATGTTTGGGTTGAAACGTCAGCACTAATAAAAACTTTATAATGACTGCTTCCTGAATATTTATCACCCATGATATGTAGAGCAGTCAACTAACTTCCTCCAATAAAAAGAAATACCAAAAATCAATAATTCATCAAATATACAGAATGTCTAGTGCTTCCCTTCCAAAATATGGATCGACCAATATCAAATTTTGGCCTATATCGATATTTCAAAGGCCAATATGCTGACATATCGGTCTTTTTTCCCCTTTCTATCAAGATTTGTACAGTTTTTCATGGATTATTATTTATAAAAGAATAAATAGAGTATCTATGCATCAGCCTATACACAAATTTTGATCGATAAAAGAACGATAAACCTATATTTCTGCATATAGGCCTTTTGTTCCTATATGTCTAGTTCCGTATAACGTTGCATAGAAAATTCTCGAAATTGCTAAATGAAAATATCAAACAATCATCAAGAGTTAGATCTACATATAAATTATAGCTTATACCAATATTCTAACAACCTTATATATAATGAAATATATACACACACTTTTTTTTTCCTGTTTTGATCCTCCTCTCCCCAAAATTTGAGCAGATACTGATATTATAAAGACTAATACATCAGCCATATGCCCTTATTTTATTAAGATTCATACTTCTAATAATAGTTTTATTTCTAATAAATAAGTCAAACAATCGTCAAGGGATCGGCATAAACATAAATTTTCCATCGCTTCCTATTCCATCATCCCTCGGCCCACCATACTCTCAGCCACATCTCTCCACTTGACATGAGGCTTTCCTCTCCTTCTTCTACCCTTGGCCTGCCACTCAAATTCCGTTTTGAGAAGTGGTTCCCTATTTATCCGTAATCTTCTTTCCTCCATTACTCCTAGTATATTATTCTTAACTTCCATCCTTTCTCTAATAGTTTCTTTTCTTATTCTTTGCGTTCTTCAGACTCTAGCCGACCTCCAAAAATCCATCTCCAGAGCTAAAATGTTTTGCTCTGTGATTTTTCGAGTGGCCACGTATCCGAACTATTCCGTCAGGGCTTTATATATTAATTTTTTTACTTTTTTATAAATATTTTCGCTCCAGAGAACTGAATTGAGCATAATAATTGCTTTCCACCCATGTCTTTTTCAATATCCTTCCTCGCTCTTCAATATCCTTACTTTCAAGTGTTGAGCCAAGATAGTAAAATTGGTTTACCCTCCAAAGCCCTGTCAAAACTGGGTCACTCAACTCATAGTTCTCTGTCGACATATATTTTGTTTTATAATAACTGATAATTTGGCCCCATGGTTCATACTGTTCGGTTAATTTTCTGAACATATACCCGATATCAAACTTATCCTGCACTATCATTTGGTCATCAGCCAATAGTAGGTGACATAAATCTACTATTTATGTTTGCACACGTCCTTTCCCACCATTCATTTTTGGCTCTTCTAGTGGCTCTAATCAGTTCCTTATTTTCGAGGTATATAAGTTAGAATATTTGTTACAGTCATTTATTCTCCCAAAACCATTTCCGCTCAACTATATCATGACGTTTCAGGATCCACTTTTACATCCCATCTTCAGACTAGAAATTACAAAATTATCGCTATCAACAATTTTATACAATCAATACATTGGTGTAGTTTTTGAAAACATTATTGATTTTAATATTATACTATCGGTTACAGATTTATTCAATTGTTTAGAATATTTTCGAAACAACAGCTAATTAAAATGCAATCATTGGTATAGTTTTTGAAAATATTACTGATTTTAAGATTACACTGTTAATGATTTACTCAATCTTTTTGGATATTTTCGATGTAAGGATCTATTATTATGTTATAGTAGCCATAGGCTATAAAAATACTAAGGATTTTAAGAATACCTGGTGAGATATTGATCTATTGTACATTTTCGGATTTACTTGACATAAAGGTCTAGTATTATGTTACTGACGTATTTGGTTTTGTATTTACTATAAATTTCAGGATTTTCATTTTTCATTGATATGAGGGTTCTATTATTATATTGTAAGGGCACTTTTATTAAAAAAACTATTGGTTATAAAATTGCACAATCAGGCATCAAGCTTTTGTAACTTAGTGGATGTATTCAAAATTAGGGTCCATTTATATGTTATTGGGAGTGCTTTTTATGAAAAAACTGTCGCATTTAAAATTGATGAATCGTGCATAGAGTTTTTGTAACTACTTTGATTTTTTCGGGATTAGGATCTATTTCTATGTTGTCACTTTTTATGAAAATACTATCCGTTTTAAGTTAGCGATCACTGATGATTAACAGAGAATATGTATAGATATTGTTGTGTTGTATTGGAATGTGCCATAAGAGAGTTGGGAATTCAAATAGGAGGGACGATTTTCAAGAAATTGTGTTAAATTATAGCCCTTGGCGATGATTTGGATGTCATTTTAAACAGTTTTCTGAGTATGGAGAGCATCTTCCTAAATCTGCAAAAAGCAGCCATAGGTGAACTGGATTGTAGGTGAACGAGTTCAAAACAAAGTATATGCAATGCAATCCTAAAAGAAGAGAATATCTAGGAGGTAGAGTAAACATTGGAGACTTCAACTTCAAATGTGTCGAGGAATTTATTGATCGAATGTTCGACACTGTTGAACTCCACTAATAATATACAACAAGATTCAGTGGCGGATTAGCTAATAGATGCTATTATGGGCTTTATTAAAAAATAAATAAACGTATAATAAATAATGAAAGTCAACAAATTGCAAGAGAAATTTTTATTGCTCTTATAGTGATAGTTGATATGTAACTTAAAAAAATGCTTTATACCCAAATATGGGGGTTGAAATGTCGGCTAACCTATTAACAAAATTTTGATTTAAATTCTTGACAATTCTGTTTCATCCTTATATGTTATGCTGTTTATACATTATTAAAACATTTCAGGCAGTGTTTTGTGATATATTTTAATCCGTCTACCTGTGGTTAAGCAGTGTAATATCCACTGGTGGTCACAAAAACCGGCACACATTAAATTTTGTCGTTATTTCTTTCCCAACAGAAAAAAAAAGTTGCATTTTTTTTTTTTTACCTCAACATAGTGTGACATATGTTTCTTGTAGAAGACCACAAATAAAGAAAAAAAAATTCTTTTAAAAAAAATTGTAATGTAAAATAAAGCAAGTGAACAATCTTTTAAAAAAAAAAATAAAACCCATCATTCTTTTTAATTATGAAATCTGAAACTCTAATACCTAGTGTTGCCTGCCTCTCTTTTCTTGAATAACTGCCTGTACTCTCATAGGCATACTACGAATAAGGTGGTTACCTGATCTTGAATCTGATCCATTTCACATACTTGGAGGGTTCTGTGTCGACAAATGGACATCCTAAGCTGGTCCCAAATATGGTTAATAGGATTGAAGTCTGGGCTGCGAGCTGACAATTCCAAGGTGGGGAAACTAACTTCGACTAAGTAGTCTCGTACATTTTCGATGTGCGAGCGAGCATTATCCTGCATAAAAAGGAAATGGAGGGCGATAAATGGGCCAAAAGGTACCACATATTTTTCGAGGATGTTGGTGATGTACATGTGTCTAATGATCATTGGCCTTTGGAACACATGAAGATCTGTCCTTCACCATCGCCGACCTTCCTCCGAACTACACTTTTCCAGCTACATTGCACTGAGGATATTGCTTACCTGGTTTTATCCACACTCAAACTCATCTATTTGCACCATAAAGGCAATACCTAGAATTGTCAGAAACACAAAAGCAAAACCAATGCGATTAAACAGGCAACTGGAGACAAAATGATATGAAGTCCAAATTTTATTTAAATGCTTTTATCCTTAATCCTAGAGAGAATCAGGAGATTTACTCGAAAGGATTAATGCATGTTTATCCCCTTTGACCTGCCATTTACCTATTATTACTTCAGGCTCAAAAATATTTGTTTAATTTGCGGTTTTTATGTAAAATTCAAGGTGCACCAATTTGTTTGACCACTGGTTTATACATTTCTTTAAGGTAGGTTATTTGATAGATATGATCCAAAGTGTGTTATATTTTTCCTGTTTCATGTTATAAATATTTTAAATAAATTAAGAAACATTAATGAATAATGAAAAAATAATAATATTGTAAATGCACTTACTTTGACATTGAGCTTCTAAGTTCCTTGACTATATGCTTAGAGTCTGCTCTTAAAAATACTACAATAGGGTAAAATTGGGCATAATTTAATCTATCAACAGCATTTGGTGTTATGTCAAGTAATGCATGTTTACCACGGTCCATAATCTCTCGAATAGCACTTAAGCGTATTATTCCACTAGTTTTTGCTGATTTCGCTACTTCTTCAATGTTGCTATCTAAATCTGTAGGAAAATATTGACAGATATTAGTTTAAATATTTAAATATATATATATATATATATATATATATATATATATATATACATTTTTTTTATTCAGGATATTTGCAACTATATTAATATAAAAATACATCCAGTAAATGTATATGATGTGAACAAATGTATATGATGATACGAAAAGGCTTATTGAGAACCTACCAACTGGTAGCACTCTTTAGTTTAGAGATATAAAAATGAGAAGTACTAAATATTAGTGCTTAGTTGTAGATTATTAATTATATGAATACGGATTGAAATTGCTTTTTTCCTTGTTTTAAAAAATAAAATAGTTTTCATTTGATTCACTTTATCATAAAACTTTTTAATTATATTAATATTTAAAAATGATAATATTATAAAAGATAATTTACTTTCTTTTTATTTCTGGTCAGCTTTATACATTATGAAAAACTTCTGACAAATCTTAGAGAGCAGATCATGATTAACTTCAATCTGTCCTCGAGTACAATCGAGAGGCTATACCACATGGCAGTAGACAAAATGGGGAGAATAAGTGAGAATACAAGCAGCTTCAGGATTGGTTTTGAAAGAAAATGATAGGAACAAAGGAATAACTTAAGAGAGATAATTGACCATTGGGAAATATGGGACCATTGGGTTTCCATGACAAATTTTGGTCACTAGTAATACCCAAGACTTTCACAGAGGAGTTAAAAGTGATAAGGTGGTCATTTAGGACTCGAGTAAGAAAGGTGATAATGGATCAGAGGAGAGAATTAGAACCTACAACAACGGCTTAAATTTTTAACACATTTATTCTAAAGACATTTGTTGTTGAATCAAGGAACGGCATTAGTGTAGTACATATACTAAAAATAGATAGTGAGAAAAAATGAAACTGACTAAACTATTTTATAAAAGTTTATTTAATAAACTGTTAAGGGGTATAATTAATGACGATTAACAAATGTTAATGTATATTTATATTGTTATTTATTTAATGCATCAAAAATTTAATATCTCTTAAAATTATCATTATATTATATGGTTTACTAATTTGGTATGAGCTATATTTAATGTTACCAATGATATTAATGTTATTTTTGATCCCATTACAAGAATCAAAATCTAATTTGTTTACAATATGTATATGTTTATTTGTACAGACATTTCTTTTGACAAATACAACAAATAATTTATTCATTCATTCACCTTAGCTTTTTCATGATAATTCAGGCACTGATCAGATAAGAATGGTTTTCAAACCAAAACGACAATATACAACAACAAATAGGGCGACTTGACCAACAAATTAAAATCATTGAGACATGGAGAGTATATTTTATTTATTTATTAAATGTTCAACAATCTCTCCCAAACACTGTTGTGCTAAATTCTCCCGGAGTAGGACAGGGAGAGATAATAAGCAAAAATTTAATAACAGGAAATGGATAGAAGGGAAATAGTATCTGAGAGTAGACAAATTCAAATACCTTGGTTCCACAATAACCTCAACGAATTAATAACAGTTGGAAATAGACCACTATATAACAAGCGCAAACAGAGCTTTCTTTTCCCTTACAAAGATATTGAAATTCCGAAAAATCTCAAGAAATTTCAAATTAAGGATGTACAATGATATGATAAAGTCAGTTCTAATAAATGGCTTGAAACCTGGACACTAACCAGCACCTTATAAAAAGTATTGAAAGATTTGAGAGAAAAATCCTCTGCCCAATAATTGGAGCGATCTGGAATCAGAGTACTGACATATGGAGAAGAAAAATCAATAAAGAGCTGCTTACAAAAACTGATCAATCAATATCTCATGATATGAGGTTAAAATGGGCAGGGCATGTAGCTCAGAGCAATTCATCTGGAAGCTTCAATGTCACAATGAATGCTTCAATAGTAAGCAAAAGACAATTTATGTGGAAGACCACAGAGCAGATGGATAGATAGAACCAACAAAGATTCAATAGAGCTGTATGCAGATAAATGGAAAGAAATAGCCCAAGATAGGCAGAGATGGAGCTGGCTTGTTAAAGCGGCAAAAGATCGACAAGGTCTATAATGCTAACAGAAAAACAAATGGCAATCGTGAAAACAAAACTTGATACTATATATTGTAAGTAGATAAAAATTATATTTTCACTTGGTAAAGGCAGGAGCTAGACAAAAGCATAAAAGGTGATTGGAATCATGTCAGTCAAGGATTAATATTAGGTCATCTATATTTTTTTTAAATAAAGAAAATATCGTTAGGAAAGATAGTTAATATAGAGGATAAGGACAATACTAGAAGGGTCAGTAGTGAGGCTATTTTCCTTCGCTAGGCCAGAGTAGTGAGACTATTTTCTTTCGCTAAGCCAGTAGTTTGATAAAAATATTTATTTTGGAAACAGAGGAAGCCGGATAGTTATAACATAATGAGAGGGATTGAAGGTATAAAAGAGTTGATTGAGAGAGGTATGTGGCTCTAAGTTTTTTTTTCAACTTGGTACAAAATTCAGAATTTGGATATCATAGTCAGTAGAGGTGGGTTAGCGGTAGATACTTTTTCAAAATTCCAGTTAAAAATATATCTACTTCAGAGACCTAGCAACCCTGCCAACATGAGCTTTTGAATTTTACCACCTCCTTTGATTAAGGGAAAATCATATCCCCTTACCTTCCTAAATCCTTACTTCTAGCTTTCCCCCAAGGGACTTCTGGAGGCCAATTGCACCAAGGTAACGAAGCCTTTTTTGTTGGTGATTGGTCACCCAGAGAGGAGTATTATTGATTCAGAGCAGAAAAAAAAGGACTCAGAAATGTATTAACTAAAAGGAAACTGGAACATCAAGAAACTGACGGGAAAAGAGGTCGAGCTAATAGAGGAAATGAAAAAATACAAAGTAGACATTCCGGGTATCAGTGAAGTAAAAAAGACAGGTACTGGAGAACATAGACTTGAAGATGACTATGTTTTAATTTACTCTGGAGTCCCGAAAAGAAATCTTGCCAAGGAAGAAGTTGGTATTTTCATGACTCCAGTGTTCACGAGTGTTCAGCAAACTGGAAGATTGAAAACCAATATCTTCTCGGATTATAGTTGCTAATATCCAAATGAATGTAGGAAAGATATCCCTCATCCTAGTATATGCAACCACTGAAGACACCAGAATCTTGGAAAAGGAAATGTTCTACACTGATGTGCAAAGAACTTAGAATAAATGCAGAGATGAAGGAAGGTATGGAATTATGAGTGGTGATTTCAATGCAAGGCCAGGATGTGATCATAGGGCTGGACATGGGGTTATTGGACTCCATTGGAGGTGAAAAAATGAAAATGGTCAACGGGTGATCAACTTTTGTGTGGACAACAATATGCTTATTAGAAATTCTTTTTATCTATAAAAAAGATTCATAAAATAACCTTCTCACACCTTGACGGGAACAGTGAGATAGATTACTTTATATATGGCAGAGAAATGAGGCAATTCTTCACTGATATAAAAGTAATCAGAGGGGCAGAGATAGGCACAGATCATCTTCTGGTAGCTGATACCAAGGTATTAAGGGATAACTGGCCACATTTTAAAGCATACAAAGCAAAAAGGAGAGCCCAATATACTGCTGTCCTGGAGGAGAGAATCAGAGGATTGAATATTTCAGGAAATATGAAAGAGAAATGGAACAATCTCAAGACATGTATTTTGAGCTTCGTTAAGGAGGTCTATTGCATGCGGAGGTAAGTGGTAAGGAAAAAACATAATAAACGGTGGAATTATAGCATTAGGCACCTAGTGAAAAAGAAAAAAACAAGCATGGAAAAGATATCTGCAAGAAAAAATTCCTGCCAACTTAATTGAATATCACCAATTAAGCAATGATGCCAAGACAGCAGTACTTTTAGCGAGAAGGAAAACTTGGGAAGAGTTCAGTAGGAGCCGGTTGAGAAAATACAAAATGGTTTTGGCAGACAATTAAGTTCCTGATAAGAAAAAAAAAACATCAGAAATATAAAAGATGAAAGAGGCAATACAGTTGCTGCCTCAGATAATATTTTAGACCAGTGGAGGCATCACTACACCAATGTGGTACACCAATGCCTCATTCACAGCCTGCATTAGAAGAAAATCAAGAGCCTATAGAAGAAAATGAAGTGTAATATATATTGAGAAGATAAAAATATATAAAAAAATGGGAATAGATGGAATTGCACCAGAATTCCTGAAATTTGGTGGCGAACGGCTCCAGAAAGCAATTCAAGAATTGTTCTAAACAGTATGGAATAGCAAGAAAATATCTAAAGATTGGGAGTACAGCTCTTTAATACCCGTATATAAGAAAGGAAAATCAACTTCATGTGAGAACTACAGACCATATCACAGTTGTCAAAATGATAAGGAGGTAAAAAGATAATAATATGAAAAAAAAAACAGATGTTGTGATTTAAAAAATTCAAAAGGAGGTACATCAATTGTTGTAAGATATAGAAAAACTATCTTTAATTTTTGAAAATCTTATTAGTTGTTTTTGTATAAAGTTGTCCAAATTTTAATAAATTGATTTATTGAATGGTATTAATGTTATCGTGTACTGAGAATGTTTAACCCCTTAATGAAATAATAGGTTCATTAAATGTGCAGGAAGATATTTTTACGGGGAAATATGCAGCATTGGTTGAACATTCAAAAGATCTCTCGATAGGTGACGTTATGGAGTTTAGGCGCACGAGTAGGGTATCTTCATAGTTGCCTTGGACAGTTAATTGTTCCATCAGAGTTAAAACAGAGCTGGAAACGGCAGAGTGATCGGGTTACATTTTTAATAGCTAAACTTTAGAAGAAGAAACCCGTGACTACACTACCACCTCTAACCAAAATAAATACTGCCACTACATCACGAACTTTAGATCCACCATTTAAAGAACAAGTCTATAGAGATATAAAAGCATATAAATGGGGTTTAAAGTTCTCAGGTGATTCATCAGGCTCTTCTTTAAGTTCATTCTTAGAAGAAGTAGAGAAGCGAAGACTAATGCTTTCCATTGAGGAAACTCACCGGGGAAGGGCTTGTATTTACGATTTTGAAATACCCCTGGCCCCAACAATATTTTCTCTATTCTACAAGATATCAACAAAAATATTGTAAAATATATTGTATTGACTACTTATCATTTTAGTTTATTACAATTTCTGTATTGTTAACATTAATTGCCAAACGATTGTATACCTTCACTCAAACTGTTTTGTGTTTATATTGACTGCCATTTCTGATTTATTGTTACTGTATTACTAGCTAATAGTCATAATATTTTGTAACTATTAGAAACAACATAGCTATTGAACACATGTTTCCTGGAATATTTTATTTATCAATGATTTTCATTCCACAAACACAAATGTTACCCTCCTCTGACTTTATTTACCTACCTTTGCTATCTAAAAAAAGCACATCTGGAAAATCCTCCAGCGACCCTTTTACTTACCTACCTAAGGGCCAGTACTTAAATAACTTCAGTGCCCGAACCATGGTTAGTAAGAGTAAATATTACATTTTTTATAAATTGATTATATGCATTGTACCTTTCAGCTTGTATAACTTATTACATATTTCATTTGTCTATTCATGTATCATCCATCACTATTTTTTCAATTATTAACCATTATTTGTTTTATAATGTTCTATCTCTGATTTTATTAAACAATTTTCAGCCCTGATAATGACCCACATACTTAAGTTGAAACGTTCGTACCAATAAAAAACATTCACAATGACTGCGTCCTGACTATTTATCACCCATGATATGTAGAACAGTCGACTAACTTCTTTCAATAATACTTAATGGTAAATTTCAAGGAACAATAAATCAATTATTAAATTAGAAATTATTTTATATTTCTAGTTTGAATTGTTACCTTACTGATTTATCTTTCCATTCTACCCGATTTTATGATAAAAGAACAATAATTAAGATAAGGAATGAAATAGATATAATATTTCCCACAGAAAAGAAGTGAATGAGAGAATTTAGGTTTTGTTGCATGCTCCATAATTTTTTTTAGCATGAAATATGAGTCTATTAATAAATAATAGTTACTTGGTACAAATTCACCAAGAGATTAATTAGAAGCACCTTTTAACACAGTTAAATAATATTTTGGAACGATTTACAATACATGGATGATTATAAAAAAATTAATACTTTTACTTACGTGGAGATGAAAATTTGTCTGGGAAGTCTTTAAGTAACTTTTCTCTGGCTAAATCAGCAATTGGTCCAAAGAGTACTACTGGGCGCATAAAACCTGGATGTCGTAGAACAACTCTTTCATAAGCAGGAAACTTACTCACACTGTCACCAAAAACAACATCATCCCAGTGATCCTACAAAAATATATATAGAAATGTTTTTAATACAGGATTCTTTAAGCAAGCAAAAGTTATTTATTTTATCTAGCTTTCAAGTAAAGTATATCATGAATTTTTTGGTGGGAGAGAGTGCTAGAATTAAGCATCTGCCAGGCCTTAAAAGGAAAGAACTACGATTAGGAGTAATAATGGCTGGCCTTAAAAAAAAATTGAAGGTTTGTGGAATGGTTGATAATGAAATTGATCCCTTATCTAGGTATCAATCTGGGTGACCCTGATATGCCATATAGCTACTGAGCTACATTTTTATTCCACTGGAAGATATAAAATTACAAACCCTTCAAATTCATAGTATTTACTTTCCTAAAATACTATATGATGATCAGTTACTCTACACTTGAAAATTTTACTTTGAAAATTTGAATTTAAGTTTCTAAATTTTGACTGAGAATTAAACTGGAAGAAAATAGTTGATACTTGGCCCTTACCACCTTAGACCATTCTATCCTCTACACTAAATTAAAATTACTATCCTTCTCCAATAGTTCTATCCTATGGTTCCAATCCTTCCTTTCTGACAGGACTCAAGCTGTTAGTATTCCGAATCAACCCTTATCTTCTTTCCTCACTTTGTCTCATGGAGTAGCCCAGGGTTCAAGCATTTCTCCTATCCTTTTTAATTCTTACATCAATGACCTTCCTAGTTCAATCCACCATTGTTCATACCATCTATATGCTGATGATTCCCAAATTTATCTTTCCTTTCCGCCCACTGAGTTATTAGAAGCGTTTATGAATATTCAGAAAGACCTAGATAGGATCAGTGCCTGGGCAAGCTTGAATAATTTAAACTTAACGCATCAAAAACTCAGGCAATTCTTATAGGTTCCAACTCCCTCCTTAGATCCATCTCCATCCTTCCTTCCTTGATTATTAATGACCAACCAATCTCCTTCTCCCCCTCTGTAAAAAACTTAGGAATTACCATTGATCAAAACCTATCATGGAAACCCCATATTGCTCATATCTCCAGAAGGTCAATTGGTACACTTAAACTATTTCATCGTTCTCGTCAGCATCTCCCATGACCTATCCGCAAGCTCCTCGTTTCCTCATTGATTTTCCCCTACTTTGGCTGTGTGGTATATGGTGGCCTCTCGTTGGAGCTTGAGGACAGACTGAAGAGAATCATGAACTGTTCTTTAAGATTTGTCTTCGGCACTTCGAGATGGTCTCATGTGTCCCACCTATATTCCGAGTCAAAGTGGCTCTTCCCCTCTTCCCGCCGCCTATACTTCCTTGGAAATTTCTTATATCAAACGATCAACTCCCAGCACCCTTCCTATATCTACTGTCTCCTCAAGCCGAAACCTTTAGTCCACTCAATAAAAACTAGATCCCGTGATTCTGACCTCTATATTCCATCACACAAGACAAAAACCTATGAACGTTCCTTCTTAGCCAGCTCCGTCACCTATTGGAATTCTTTGTCATATAACATCCGTCATGCCTCTTCACTGTCAACCTTCAAATTCCTCCTTTTCCAATATCTCCTCACATCCCAAACAGACGATTCGCAACCATAAATTTCATTTTATGAACTGAATTTGTGAGAAGTAAATGGTGGTGCCTACAGTTTAAGTTTTAACATAAAACAGCAATCATTTTTTACTATTATTTTTACTATTTATTTGTATTTCTCTTCACCTCAGGTTGTGCTTTTTCTTTCATGTTTATATAAGTTTATATTTTATACTTTTTGTCTCACTGTGTAGCAATATGAGTAAGTACGTATATATAGTTCCTTTTTTACCTTTATACCACAATTATTCCTGAGATTTTATTTTATCTTAGTGTTTGCTTATTATTTTATGAATCACTGTAAATATTATTACATTTTGTACTAAATTATGTTTCTATTAGATAGCTATTATTTATAAATTGTGCAGTTATGTATATATAAAGATATGTAGTTTCTTTTCTGTCTTTTTTTTTTTCTTTTTTTTTTTATCGTAATAATAAGTAAATTTGGAGAAGATTGTATGTTCATTTATATATGTATGTATGTGCATGTATGTATATATATGTTTATGTGTGTGTATGTATATATATGTGCGTGTGTTTATATATGTATATTTTTTTTTTTTGTTTATTTCTTAGTGGTTACATACTACTTTTTAAATAATGTATATTACGTTAGAATTTTTTTAAGTTAGTTTTTGGCCAGATTGGTATTTTATTTTGTATTAATTCATCTTTGTTATTCTAAGGGGACCTAGTCCCAGAATAAAGTTCTATTTTCTATTCTATTCTATTCTATTCTATCACCAATATTTCGAACAAGAAGTAAGATGACAAAATGTTATCAACCAATGTTCGTATCATGATGCAATATAAAAACTAAGGACCCTAAATTTGATTAATTTAAACCTAGAGGTAAATGGTATGGGTTTTTGCTAAGCTAATCTCTGCACCATGCTAGTTGACAATATAAGATTTAGTTACATTGTCAAAACTATTTACTCAGAAAAACTTACAACTGTAGTTGAAGAAAAGGTTGAAGATAATATATTTTATTTTAAAAATTAATTAATACTTTAAATGTCTACATTCTTAAAATGTAGGATGATAGGTTCTTATTGAAATTTACAACTGTATTAGATAAAAAAATACAGGCTCTTCCATAATATCAGTCTGATTAATTGTCACACTCCCACAGAAGAATCTCCCGAGAAGGAAAAGGAAAGATTTCTACAATGCATTGGAAAGAGAGCTCGACAGGTACCCTTGAAGAGATGTAAAAATCATGCTCCACCAAGGTTGGCCAGGAAGAAATATATCGCCCTACGATTGGGAAATGAAGCATCCATGATAAAAGCAACAAAAAAAAAGAGAGGTTAATCAACTTTGTCTTCTCAAGGGATTTGGTTATTGGGAATACCTAATTCCCTGGTAAAAGGATCCACAAAAACATTGGAAGTCTCCGGATGGTAAAACATTCAATCAAATTGACCATCTGCTCATATCGTCTCGCCACAAATCCAACCTCTTCAGCAGCGGAACCTTTCATGGTGCTAACATGGATTCGGATCATTACTTAGTAAAATCCAGAGTACAAGCTAGAATCTCTGATAGCCACACTGTGAGGAGGAAAGCAAGTAAAAAAAATCAATGCAAGCAAATTGAAGAATCCTGAAACTCGCCAAAGATATGAAGAGCAGTACAGCCATTTGATGAAGAAATGAATGAAAGAAATATAATGAAAGAAATGGGCAATGATCCTGAATCAGAAGATGAATGGAGGATTCTGAAAGAAGCTATAATGATGGCTGCAGAAGAAGAGTTGGCAAACGAATAGAGAAATTCTAGAGAAGAGTGATTTGATTCAGAATGCCATGCAGCGACAGATGCAAAAAACCAAGCTTAAAAATCAATGGTGCACAGCAGATATACACAGATAGCATCAGAAGAATATAGGAATTTCTGCCAAGTGGAGGAAAAACATTATAGAAAAAAGAAGAAAACATGGGAAAGGATAAAATTGGAAGAAATCGAGGAACTACAAAAAGTAAATGACAGCAGACTATTTTATCGAACGGTCAATCAGGAAAGAGCTGATTTCAAACCAACTTCTATTCCATGCAAAAGCGAGGATGGTTCGCTGCACACAAAGAAAAAAGAAATTCTCCAAAGATGGGTGAATCATTTGAAGCTCTACTAAATGATTAAACAGTGGAAGATGCAGAAGAAGTTGCCAGACATGAAAATCGAAATGAGAACACAGAGGAAGAGAATAAACCCCCTCCGGACTTCAAAGACGTTATGGAAGTGATCCACAGAATGAAAAATAATAAAATTCCGGGTTTGGATGGCCTTACAGTAGAGCTCCTAAAATACAGAGGTGAAAACTTCCATAAGGACCTTCATACTTTGATGATCCAAATTTGGGTTGATGAAAAGATGGCACAGGGGAAAAAGGGAATAATTTGTCCAATCTACAAAAAGGGTGATAAGCTTGATTGCAAAAATGATAGAGGAATATCTTTCTTACCAACAGCATACAAAACTATTTCCGGAATTCTCTTCAATCGATTGTGTCCCTATACCGAACAAATAGCAGGAAAGTAACAGACTGGCTTTAGCAGTGGGAAATCCACAGTGGACCAGATCTTTTCCCTAAGGAATATCTTGGAGAGGTGGATTGAACATAATATGACAATCTACCATGTTTTCGTAGATTTTAAGAATGCGTATAATAGCATCAATTGCTCCAAAATTTACAGGGCACTTGAAGAATTTGGCATTTCCAGGAAGCTTATCTGTCTTGTTAAGATCACCATGCATGATGTGAGGAATATCATTAGAATACAAGGTGTACAAGCAAGTTTCAGGCCAACGAGGGGTTGCGACAGAAAGATGGTTTGGTATGTAGTTCCTCTTGTCTGCCTCAGAAGGCAGACAAGAGGAACTATTGTCAACAGAACACTTTCTGGGGTCCTGTCATGTCTACATTCTATTTTTTTAGTATTTACAGATTATTTTTAAATGATTGAATAGACTGTTAGAATTTTTATTAAGTTAGTCTATTGTTAATATTTTTTAACATAAAAAATCAATGTTTTTTCTTTTCTTACTTTAGTTATTTTTTTTATTTTCTCCAGGTTTTGTTTTTTCTTTCTATGTATATGAATATTTTTTTATTATTGTTTTTCTTCTCTCACATTACAACTACAAATAGTGAGTTCCAACATTGAGGGGACTTTGTTTCAGAATAAAGTTTATTTTTCTATTCAAATAAGATGATAGAAGTTTCCATGAATTTTAAAACTTACTTTACTAAGAGATTTGGATCTTCGATGACTATTGCGTCGTCTTCTAAAAAAGCTTCCTCTACTTTCAGAACTTGTAGCCTCCTTTTTACTAGCATTAAATTCAGCAGTGGCTAATTCTTCAGCTCTAGCTTTATTTGGTATAATACCTTTTTGCACCTCTTGGTTATTTCGACCTATGGGTATTATGAAATTGAGTCATAACTTATTTTATACATAGTTAAACAAGATATCAAAGTAAAAATTAAAAATTACCTATCCTATAAACTTGCCAAGAGCCAACTACACCATTATGTAATGTATCAACCACATGAAATATGTCTCCTTTTCGGAAACTCATTTCACCTTTATTTGGTTGTTCATAGTTAAAATGAGCCCTGAAATTTAAAAATGTAAATAAATATATTTTTATTTTTAAAAACAATTAATAAAATTCAAATTTATCATTTTATAAATGTGTTTAAGACATACATATATGTCAGAGTGGGGTAGAATTATACTCCTTAACTATTTAGCTTAAGTCAGAGACCGGATTTTTATGTTATTACACATTTTATTCGCTTGCATGTGAAAAATTCAAACCCAACTATCTATTTATTTCATGATCTGTAGAATAATATTGCATGTTTTGCTGTATTTGGCCTGAATTGCATGATTTTGATTTTCGTTCCATCAAATTACACATTTTTGTGGTAGATTGAGATGGTTCATTATAAGTGTTTGTGTAATTATTTACATTTTTATTTTACTATCTAGTTCATATTAATATTTAATTATAATTAATAAGGTTACACAATGAAGAAGTGCTAAATATTCTTGGAATATAACTTGCCTAAAATAATGGATAACAATAAAAAAAACGCCTTCCCAGAATAAACTTTTTGTTGACATTTATTATTATTGCTTGGACTTGAATTTTCACTCATTCTTCAGCCCTTCAGTATCCCTTCTGGTTTTGAAGTGAATTGTAGTAATTTCATTATTATTAAAAAAAAAAAAATGAAGAATGCCAAAAGCAGGTTCTAGTCTTCCGTCAAAAATTAAAACCTGGATATAAAATTATCCTGAGTTGAAATTTGATAGGAAAGTAATCTTCTGTTTGCTCTGTGAAAAATCAATTGGGTGTAATAGAAAGCCACTGATAGATGCTGATTGTATAATTTGTCTTTTTGCATTACGGAGAACATTACATTTTCGAAACCTGTCACGGAAGGCTACTTGTTTATAATAAAATCTTGAGACTGATGGTCACTTATGTGGGTGAAACATGGATCCTGACTAGGTATGGGTTGAAACAAGATTTTTTGTATCTAGATATAACTAATACTGCTACTTTTTTGTATCTGGTACAAATGGATCAGTAGTTTGTCATTACCTTACTATTACTTTGTACCTGATGCAGTATTAATGCAAATCTGACTTCTTCCTTCTATAACCTTTCAATAATCCTAATAAATCTTTCAAGGAATGTCAATCTACTATTATTATTTTGTTTTCCATTATCATTTTGTTATTCTTTAAAATGAATGCATTTTTAAGACTTGCTTAGCTAAACTGGCATCATTCTAGAGCAGCTTTGGCATTTTACCTATTAAAATAATTCTAATTTTTTTGCATTCAATCATTTCCCTCGGTTTTCAAATAGCCATAATGTTTGTATAGCTTATTTCCAATTCCATTAAAACAATCAACTGGAAAATCAAATTTATTCCTACCAATTACTCAATATATTCACCCTAATACTCAACATACTCAGTACCCTAATACTTTAAATATTCACCAAAATATTCCATATTCAATTTGAATATTGAATATTTTCAATTTGAATTAAAACTACATAATTAGTTTAGAAGTAAAATAACGTTTTTGGATGTACGTATTAGTTCGGAAATAAAGTAGTATAAACGTTGGCTTGAAATAAAAATAGTTTTTTCACTATTTCAGTCTTTTTATGAATGCCACTCAAGACCATCTCAATTTTATATTGTATATGAACAATAATATACAAAGGTTTAATAAGAATAAAGCCTGTATTGTACATATTATACACAATATACACATCCAGATCCTATAAATATTTTTTAAAAGATAAATTAAGTTGATATTCTTTTTCTATTCTATGCTTTCTATTCTCCTTCTATTAATAGTTGTTATGAGATCCATCTGTGTTTATAGCTTCATTATAGATATTTTATCTGACAAAATATTAAGAAACTCATTGAAATTTAAAAATAGAAATATTTTGCTTATTATGATTGATATATTATAACCTAAAAATCCATCCAGTGCAAAGACAGAAAACAATAATATAATAAAATGTTAAAATTTTATATAATATTCTTTTCTAGCCTCCCAGGATGGATTAACAAGAAACCTCATACATGGGTCAAATATTTTTCAATCTAGTATCACCAAAAAATTTTTCATTAACATCAGTGACTGCATGTCCATAACTTTCCCTTATTAGTATAACTATTGATCAAGTAACTAAAGAAACTGAAACCATGACCCTTCATGGATTTTAGTGATAAAGGTTTATAAATGTACAACGTTCATTGTGATATAAATTGCCTTATATAATAATTATGCTATTATAGTATGGTATGTTCATTTGAATTTTTGTTCTTTAAGAATATTCCGAAGTTTTAAATTTATTAGAACTTGTTGGCAAAATAAATAAACTTAATCTATTAAATGTACCGATTGAACTGTTGATCATTTTTTTACTTCAAATCGTCAAAAAACATTGCAATTTCTTATTGTAGAAATAAATCTATAAATTAATAAATCAATTCGATTCTTGGTTTAATGTGAATAACTTATAATTAATTCTACTACTGCAATAATGTGAAAAAAGATACAATGTTATTCTTACTTGATGTGAAAAGAATCTCCACGTTGACTGCTCATGACATGGTCATATTCATCTCTCCTATGTTGTACTACCAACTGAATCTGGTCCTGTAAACTTAATAAAAGTAGTACTGCTTCTTCTCTGGTAATTCCTTTCAGATCCATATCATTAACCTATAGATGGAAGTAATAAATTTTAATAATTCATATAAAAACCAGTATTTAGGATTTTACTTTAAAAAAGTGGACTTAGGCATTTCCACATTTCACTAAAAATTATATTAAAAACCAACAAATAGGTTTTTAAAATATATTAACGACATAAATACATATCATTTAAAGAATACTTTTTACTTACATTATCTCTTTGAAAGAAAAAATCTGGTAACTTAGTTGTTTACATTTTGATGTCTTAATAAATTAATTTTATCCATTTCACAAGTTATTATGAGTTTTATAAAAATTTCCTCTTCTGCTCATATGATCATGCTCTCACACTCACACACACCCACACACACACAAAACCATATTGAAACTTCCACAGCCATGAGAAATTACTTGTTTCTGTGATTACAAATATAATGAACAATTAATTAACAAGTGCTGTTTTGTATTTATTAATGCTGGACTAACGTGCATCATTTCTGAATGCTGTTATTATTTTTAGGGGACTTTATTTCCAGAATAAAACTATTTTTTTATTTCATTTCATTATTAGGTTATGGAAAACCCTTTTTATAAAGTACTATCAAATTGAAGTTTCCATTCTCAGATATTGATTATTATAACTTTTCTGATATCCTCAATATTGATGATGACATTAATCATATTTTTACACACACTCACACACGTACACGGATAACGAGACAGAACATTATATATAACAAAATTACTTTGAGAATTTTATCACCAGGTTGTAACCCTTGAAGAGACGCTGGGCTTCCTGGCTGAACAGCTGTAACAAATATACCCACTTCATTTCCACCAGTTAGTCGTATCCCAACAGATCCTTCTTTCAAGAAGGTAATAAGTCGTGGTTCAGGCCTAAAATTTAAACAATTCTTTAGCAATTGATTAATACACAAACATTTAATATTTAAAAAATAATTAATTAATAATTAGGATTTTTTTTATCGCAAAAAGATATAATGCAATAAAATCATTTATGAACAGTAAAAACCTTAATAAAGTTACATCACATTTTTATTTATTTGAATTTTTATTAAAAAGTTTTATTGCTTCATATTTTTGTGGAATAGAGTTTTATTTATTAATTATTAATTAATTAACTTTAAAAAAACATTTTTAGTATCTCATTTCTATATAATATAAATTAAAAAATGAATAACCAAATGAAAGATGAAAATCATAAAGATTTATTATAATTTTCAAAAGTTTATATAAAAATAAACCCACAATTTCCTATTTCTATATAGAATTGTATATGAGGGCCAGAGTACCTAAGGGGTATAAGTGACAGTTCAATCATTTTATGAAAATACGTTAATAAGGGCTCTACTGTTTATCCCTTGATTGCATGGTTTTGGTAAAAATTAATTCCATACACCTTTACATTAAACATGTAAATAAGTTTGTTTGTTTTTCTGTTGGCATTACAGACCTTGTAGATCTTTTGATGTCTTAACAAGCCTATTCCATTTCTGCTTATCTTGGACTATTCCTTTCCAGTTATTTGCATGCAGCTCTATTGCATGTGGTCTTTTGCCCTATCAAGGCATTCATTGTCATGTAGAAGCTTCTAGATGGATTGCTTCGAACTTCATGCGCTACCCATCTTAACCTCCTTGCCTTCATATCATGAGATATTGATTAACCAGTTTCCGTAAGCAGCTCTTTATTGGTCTTTCTCCTCTATGTATTAGTACTCTGATCCCAGATCACTCCAGTTACCATGTGAAGGATCTTTTCCTCAAATCTTTCAATACTTTTTTCTAAGGCACTGGTGTCCAAGTCTAGCAGCCATATATTAGAACTGGCTTTATCATATCATTGTAAACCCTTGATTTGAGATTTTTCAGGATTTTAATTCCTTTGAAATTCAAATCCTGATGCAATGGGTGATAAATAGTCATTTTTAAGGTTCTTATTGGTGCTGAAGTTTCAGCCTAAGCATGTGGTTTATCATCAGGGTGTGTTTCGAGCACTGAATGTGCTTTTCACCATAAGTATGTATGAAGCTATTGTTGGCTGCGACTAAATTGTAATTGGTTTGGACTTTGTGAAGACGAGGATTGGGAGGTACAGTCAAAATCGCAGCTACCATGTCCACTAAATATTGCTGTCCAGTCCTCTTATCCTGCACGAAAAGGTGGTATCAAGGTGTTACTGAGAGTCGTCTTCATTCGTTCTAAACATTTAGAATGTTCTTGGGATCTATGTCTAGATCTAAAGTTCATACCTCTACTTTTGGAGTTTTAAATACATATTAAAGTTTTATTTAAAAATTGACTAATAAAAATGTAATTTTTTTAAAAAGAAGTACCATTTTAATATTGTTCTAAAAAATAACAGCATTGAGTTGAGAAAAAGAACAGTAGACCTGCTATAGGCTGCAGTGCATTTTTTGCGACTGGGAAAAAAAAATATATAGTTGACCTCAATATTGAGAATATCCGAAAGATTAGAAATTCATAGCTGGGTGTAGAAATTTAAATTTGATAGTATTTTCATTAAAACTGTTCTTGGTAGACTAATAATCTATATAAATATTCAGAATATTCAAACAGCTATAATAAATCTCAGAATCATGAAATCGATAGTATATTCATTTAAAATACCTTGAATAATCCAACAATGGACACCAATATTGAAGAAACTTATATATTTATATGAGAAGGAGTTAATCGGGGGGTGCGGTCAAATAAATAATAAATTAAACAGATAGTAAGTATTTAATTTTTGATGACGTTTCGACCCATTTTGCAGGTCTTCTAACCCTTCCATTGTTGATATTACTTAAAAACTAATTGAGAATTATTTTTGTTCTTATTACAATTTTTTTTTTAACGAACTGTAAGTAAAAGAGATGAGAAATATCTTACATGGGTTGTTTTCTGAGGTGCAAGGATTCTTCCTCATATAGCTGTCTTGAGCTGCTGTAGTAATCTAAAACATAAGGATATTGCTCAACTGCATTAGTTTACAATAAATATTTTCAGCTAAACTAATGATTCTTTCATAAAACTAAACTTATATTTGCAAAATATAAAATGATAAATTAACAAATAATATAAACCTTGACATCTTGGAGGAGGAGGTCTTGGGGGATCAGGTAATTCTTCAATTCCGCTTCGACTTCTTAAATGACCATGGTTAAGAGGTGTGGTTGGTCTGTCAACTTGTCCTAATGAACTAGAATCTAAGAGTGGACCTCTTGATCTTCCACGTGGTGCTAAATTATTCTTGTCATCTATTTGTAGCCTTGTAGGGGGCTGAACATAAACATTTTGGGATGAATAGTTATTTACATTTTCTACATAGCTTCCATCTAAAAAATTTTTAAAATATATTTTCAATGGTAGTTGTATAATAATAATAATAATAAAAACTAAAAAGATTTCAATTTTGTTTTTAAACTTTAAAAATTAAATATTTAAACAGGAAAAATAAAACACTTTTACACATACAACATAATTTATTTAATTGGATATATAATAGTTAACTGTGTGTATAATGAGGGAAAAGATGTCCGGATTTTAAGTCATAAATAACACCACAAAAAGGATGTTTTTTTCACTTTATCATGAATATAGCATAACAAAAATTATGTAAAGATAGCAGGGGTGATAAATAGTCAGAATGCAGTTATTGTGAATATTTTTATTTGTGCCAACGTTTCAACGTTGGTCATCAACGCAAGCATGTGGGTCATCATCAGGGCATGTTTCGAGCACTGAAGTTATTCAAGTACAGGAGTACTGGCAATGACTATATTAGTTTCAAGTAATAGCAGTACTTGAATAACTCAGTGCTCGCAACATGCCCTGATGATGACACACATGCTTGGGTTGAAACATTGGCACAAATAAAAATATTCACATTGACTGCGCCCTGACTATTTAACACCCATGATATGTAAAACAGTCAACTAATTTCGGTCAATAATTCATAAAGACAGCAGGGTTTGAAATCGATGATTATTTTTTCCAAAAAATCATGCCTGATTTATAAATAAAAATTTAAATTTATCTTTGATGTTTATTGATTTGATTAAAAATAATGATCACTCACTGAATGATATGGTTTTACATAAATAATAATGATTAAACTGCAATAAAAAAAATTTTGAGAAAAAAAAGAATAATTTTAATACACAAATTAAATTAAATATTTATATATGTATATATGATTTAATTGGTGGAGGGAGGTGTGTAGTCAGCGAATGGTGGTGTCGGCATCGAACCTTTGGGTCTGCTAAGCCGTATTATTATTATTAATGTATATTTATGTTGTTTTTTTTGTTCCATTTGTGACGAAAAAGTAAAATACAAAAAAAAATTAGTTCGTAAAATAATTATTAGTTTTTTTTTTAACTTGAAGAGGGTTAAATATAAAATTAAGTATTTAGTATTAGTTTATAATAAGTCTTAGTTTTAAGTATTCATTTTATTTTGGATTGGAATAACCAACAGATGATTGGGAGGAAAAACAAAAGACAGTTTAGAGAGAGATGGCGGAACTTCGCAAGTGTAGAGGCACGCTAAGGATTTTTGTGCCTGAAATACTTTAGTGTTACGGTGTACACCGGATTTTCTTTTCCTATCCATGAACCTGTGATTATCAGCGAGGATTGCCGCTTGATTTTAAACGTAACTGAATGAACATTTTCACAGCTTGAGGAGGTAGACTGGGGAGATCCTGACGACATTAGCCGGAATATGTTCCCACTTCCTCAGATTACCAAACATACCAATTGGACAGAGTTCAACCAGTGAGATTTTGTAAATATGTATATATAAGTTTTTATTTCCTATCTATTTTTTTTTTTTTAATATTTGTGATTAGTTTATTGTATAAAGAAAAGCCGCTAAATTATAAGCTCTAAATAATCCTAGCGAAGACAATCTGGAATACTTCCGAACCTCAAAGAACGAAACGACAAAATTGCTCAAAAATAAAAAAAGGAAGTAACTTAAAAATAAAATAATTGAAATAGAAACTAATAGAATCGAAAATAACATAAGAGACACGTACAAAGGTATAAACAGATCACGTAAATGTGTAGGGCCCCTAACGACAATGATAATAACAATATTCTGACCCATCCGGTTGACATATTGAATAAGTTTAAGGACCACTTTGACAATATTTTAAATACGGGAAATTATGATCTCTGTCATCCTTCTGAGTACCAGAGTGCTGAACCGTTGATAGAAGGACCAAGTAAAGAGGAACTAGAAGTAGCTATCGGAAAATTAAAATCTTATAAAGCAACGGGAACCGATAATATTCCTACTGAACTAATTAAGGCATGCGGGGAAGTTGGAGTTTCCAAAATTCATTTGTTGGTTAAAGAGATCTGGGAGAACGAGAAATTACCTGAAGAATGGAAAGAATCTATTCTTATTCTGATTCACAAAAAGGGCCCGAGGACGGATTGTAATAACTATCCAGGAATTTCACTCCTTCCAGTATGTTACAAAATATTCACTTTAATCTTAACCAGTCGAATCACGGAATATGCCGAGGAAATTATCGGAGACTACCAATGCGGATTTAGTCGGAATCGTTCGACTATTGATCAAATATTTTCTTTACGGCAAATATTAGAGAAAAAATTGGAGTATAACGGTATTGTTCATCAGCTGTATATAGATTTTAAAAAGACTTACGATTCTATTGACCGCCAGAAACTGTATAATATTCTAATCGAGCAGGGGATTCCAAAAAAACTAATCTAGTCAGGATGTGCTTGACGGAGACACTCAATAAAGTTAGAATCGGTAATAATCTGTCCGAAAAATTTGAGGTTCGTTCGGGTTTAAAACAGGAGGATTCCCTTTCCCCTCTCCTGTTCAATTTGGCATTAGAACATGCCATTAGGGAGGTAATGCGTACCGAGAAAGGGTTGGATCTGGGTGGGACAACATCCGTGCTGGGCTATGCTGATGATCTGGTACTGTTAAGCGAAGACGTTGAAACTATAAAACTAAATACGACAACGTTAATGAAAGCCGGTAAAGAACTAGGACTCGAAATAAACGTGGATAAAACAAAATATATAGTTAGCTGCAAAAATGGCGATAGTACTGGTGATATTGATATAGATGGTAATATGTTTGAACAGGTAGATAAATTTAGGTATCTAGGTTCTACAATAACTAGAAAAAAACGAAATTGAAGAAGAGATTAAGGTTAGACTGAAGGCGGGAAATGCTTGTTATTTTTCTGTGACAAAACTACTTAGTTCGCGCCTCTTGTCCCAGAACTTAAAAATTAGAATCTATAAAACAATTATCTTGCCTACAGTTCTTTATGGATGTGAAACTTGGCCGCTTACATTAAGGGATGAGCAGTGTCTTAAGGTTTTTGAAAATAAAGTATTGCGTAGAATATTCGGACCGAAGAAGGATGAGTTAACCGGGGAGTTCAGATGGTTACACAACACCGAATTGCGTGAACTGTATCCGGGTAATATAATTGAGGTAATTTCATCACGGCGAATCAAATGGGCTTGTAAAATTGTTGGGCTTGGTAATGAGAGAATTCCTAAAAGGTTAATATTTGCTGCGCCGAATGATAAGCGTCCGAGAAGTAGACCGAAGCGAAGGTGGGAAGATTGCATTAAAGCCGATCTGAAGGGACTGAGTTTGGACGGCGAACAGCGGAGGGAGGTGTGTAATAAGCGATTAGTGGTGTCGGCATCGAACCTTCGGGTTCGCTAAGCCTTTTATTATTATTATTGTATAGTTTAAGTTAATATTTAGTTCTATAATAATTTTATATTCTTTTTTTTTTTTTATTAAAGTTAATTGTATTTTCTTTGTTTTCTTATAAATCTAATTTCTTGTTCATAATTTTCATTTTCTTCAACACTTATTTAAATCAATAGAAATTAGTAAATTCATCATTAGTATTAATAATAGCCAGTTTTATTTTCTTCAGTTTGTTTTCACGTTTTATGTATATATTATATTGTTTTTTTAAGGTTTAATAAGGTATTGTAAACCCCTATTCGGGTGATTTGGGAATATGAATATTAACCGAGTAAGAAGGTTCAATAGGTTATGATCTTAATTAACATATGTTTTTAAACCCATAGGTTTCGAGTTCGTAGCTTACTCCGCGTCCAAATTTTTTTTTTTTTTAATTAAATTTATTTATTTTTATGGTTTTTATTATTTTCCAAATTTAACCAATCAAATAGCGTGGCTCCTGTTAGATAGTTAGTAATATTTAATTAACTCTTGACTTTTTTTTTTGCGAACCCTACCCTCTCGACTGAGCATCAGGTAAGTTTGTTGCGGAAACAATTTTATTGTTTAATAATAAATTAAATTAAAGACTGTAACAAAATGGCCCCCCTAAACAGGGACTTGAGTAAGTAAAGTGGATATAAATGGGTATTTAAAAAAAAAAATTTTAATTTCAGAAATTTTTATATTAATTTTTTTTTAAGAAAAATCTATATCGGATTAAAATGAATGTCGATAGGTTATTCAAAGAGGAGCTGGAGTATGAATAAATGATTCGTGGAATTACCGGAATAAATATAGAGGACAAAATGAGGAAAAAATTATGAACTATTTTGAAATTAGAGACTAAAGGAAAATATGTCCCCCCTGTCATAGAACTTTCTGCCGCTTCTGAATTACTGGTTTGCGAGGAAAAACTTGCAGTAATCGAGAAAAAAATATTTTCTATATCACCCACTAGTTCCGCTGGGGAAATTGATAAGAACGACACCGGATTGTAACATCTAATTAATAAACTGAACAGAATCACATCCACAGATGCTTCTGAAAAAGGAAAAAAATCGGAAGCTGTTTTAAAGTGTCTAGATCTCTTTGAAGAATTTGAAAAGAAATTAGAAGAACAGAACACGAATGATGAAGTACAGAATCTTGATGGCATGCAACAGAATATAGCAAAAGGGATAAATAATGAATCCATCGAAAATATTCAAAGACATACAAAAGCCGTTCCTGAGGATGTAGGCATAGGTGGGGCTACGTATGTGATACAGAAGACTCGAATTCTCATGAGAGATTGGGGAATTACCTTCACGGGAGATGGAAAGGGTTTAAGTATGCATGCTATTCTTGAAATGGTTGAAGATTTAAGACTAGCTAGGAATACCCCGGGAGAAGATATTTTCATAGCGCCATACGATTTGTTTAAAGGTCCAGCACTAATTTGGTTTCGATCAATTAGGAGAGAAGTTACAATGTGGTCTGAACTTGTCTCGGAGTTGAAAGCAGAATATACACCGTTGGACTATGAAGATGGATTATGGGATGAAATAAAGAAAAAAACCCAAGGACCTACAGAATCAATTGTTGCATATGTGGCAGTTATGAAGAATTATTTTAACAGATTATCTACTGTCCCTTCTGAAGAAGAAATGTTGAGGATAATCAAAAAGAATATTGATCCCTACTATTTGGACCGACTTGCACTACACCAAGTAACCACTTTGAAGACCTTGATAACTCTCAGGAGACAGTTAGAAGAGGTTAGGTGGAGGGTAAGCATGTATCGATCTCCTCCTCCAAGTAAAGGATTACTTGAACCAGATTTGGCCTATCAGCCGCCGCAAAGGAAATTAACCAATCACGTTAACGCAATAGAAACAATAAAGGAATGCAGGGAAGAGGTTGCTAAACCCAATTATTCTTTTCAATGTTGAAACTACGGAGGAAGTAGACATTCTTTTAAAACATGCCCGTCGAAGAAAACAAAACTTTGCGAGGGTGGTGGTTGGAAAGGTGTTGAAAGAAAAACTTGTGAACGTTGTATAAAGAACAAGCAGGGAAACGATCGATGGGGCCAGGTCTAAGTGGATGGGATCCTGGACGTATCCCTAAATCCACAACCAAAGCTGAGTGGGAGGAATGGTTGACAATAGTAAAAGAAGTATTTGAAGGAAAAAAGTAGAAAATTCTGAAACATGCAACAAACGAGTTAGATCGACGACCATTTCTAAAAGTAAATATCCTGGGAAGAATTGAAATGGGCCTATTGGATTTGGGAGCATCCAGATCTCTAATGGGTGAAAAATGCTGGAAGAAATTTGCAAGACTTGGATTCTATAGGATTATCCAGACATTCAAATAAATGCCGCTAAAGGCACCCTGCTCAACATGATTGGAAGCGTGAATGTTTTGTTAGCAATAAATTTTCGGAAAATTCCCTGAGTGTGAGTGAGTCTTTATTTAATAAGTTGATGTGAGAGGTGCTAATATATATATAAATAACGACTGAGTAATGCCCTAATCTTACTCAACTTCTTTCATACATTGTTTTTTGTCACCAAAAACATTGTGTGTGTGTGTGTGTGTGTGTTTGTGTGTGTGTATTTATCAATGAGAGCTTGAGTTGGTGTAACAGTGAAATAATAAAATATAATATTACAAAACCTTTTGCTTGTAATGCTGTTGATTCAGCTGGGTAACTAGTTTTTGGCCATTCCCTCCTTATTAAAAGATTAAGTTTTTCTTTACAATTATCAATTACTTTTTTGGCCTCTTTTAAAGTCATGCCATCAGTTGAATGATTATTTATTTTTAAAAGAACATCACCCTCTTGTAATGTATTTCCATCCAGTTTTGTTCCAGCATCTTTGACATATAGCCTGGATCCCAAAATGATCCCAAAATCTAAAACAAAAAAAATATTGTAATGTCCTTCTAAATAATAGATTTAAATAAGAAAATAATATATTTTTAATTATTATTGTTTAAAACAGAATTCAGATAGAATAAAAACATGTTTGCATTAATATTTACAATCAGCGTAATACATAATATATTCATACAAATGAATAGATAGGATTTATTCTTAAATTGGAATGTTTTAACATCCTTATTTGTTTCTTTAAATAACTCTTTGAACATTATTAAGATATGCGCAGTTTGATTTTTTAATCCCTGAAAGTTTCTTTTAAAAAAACAATGGTCTGGAAAGCTAAGTGAATAAAGATTAAATAGACCAGTTAATAAAATCAGGATATGATTACAAATATTGCTCTACTCTTTTATTTCAGCAGATAATTAACAGTGAATGATGGACTGTATATTTAGACTTTACTAACCAGATGAATCATAATTGTGGGCTTTTACAAAGTCAATAGTAAATTTTATAACTGATTTCATTTAGAAATATTTTAATTATTACAACAGCACTACAATGCCCAAGCAGTGCCGGCCTTAGACATTTGGTGCCCCCGGCCAATGATGACATTTCCCCCAAAGAAATTATAATTTTTCTTAAGCTATTTTATAATTACACGTTTTATATATACAACATACAAATAATATATGAATCTTATTCCATTCAATATGTCTGTAATATAGTTACTTTATTAATAGCTTAAGAAAAATTATTCTCATACGCATATTTTTTTTTTCCATTCCTAACAAGTGCAAGGGAATCCACTCCAGGTCAACACACTAAGGCAGGAATTGCTTGCAGGTGAGTCATGGCTTCCTCTCTCACTAATAGCAAGGAGTTTCTGTTGCTGCCTATCGTCATTCAATTTTCTCTTACTCTCCAGGCATCTTTTGCTCCACAACTTGACCATCTTAATCTTGATCTGCCAACCATTAACATTCATGTAAGGTTTTTGACATAACCCTCTTAGGAATTGCATAAATATACATACATGATCAGTGCAGCAAAAGTTGTTTTCCAAACAAATGTATGTTGTTAGGAATAAATATATAGATTAAACAAAACTTTTTTAATAATCCTACCAATAAAAATATATTTTTGAAGCTTTTGATACCAAAGAAGAATGTTATTTTTTTTTCTCATTAATTTACTTTTTAAAAATTTAGTTAAAATAAAAGATAAAATTTTATGAAGGTGTATAATTTAAAATTATTATTTCCAAAAATTACAGAGAAAATTTTAAGAATTCAAAGACAAGAACTACAATATAAAATTTATATATTTCTTTATGAATAAAGGAAAAAAAAATTGTTTGTAATAATATTTAATTATCTCATAAGGTGGTAATGGAAAATTTAAACACACAGCCTTATGTCTCCAAAATTCAGCCAAAGAATAAATAAAACGTCAGTGTTTTGCCAATTCACACATCATCAGGACAGAAGAGAAAAGCAAATTGATTGGGTGTCATGGAGAGACGTGATTTTCAATTTTGCTTTTCTCTTTTGTCCTGATGATGCCTGCATTGGTGAAACCTTAATTTTTTTTTTTTTTTTTATTGTTTGCCTGCATTTTGGAGGCATAAGGTTGTGTGGTTGGATTTTTTCAAATTATAATTGAACACTGAATTTCTATTTCCTGGTGAGTTGTTACTTATTTATATTAACGTTATCTTATTATTTATATTTGAATGGTGACAATATAATGGGAGGAATGGATAAGCTAAGTTTGAGATTCTTATGAAGTAAATTGGTAATTAATTTCAAGTCTGACTTATTAAATTTATATAAATTACCTTTCAGTAAATACAGATATAAGCCTGTGCTAATGTTATTATTTTATCAATGATTAATTTTTAATATTACTGAATGAGTGATCAACCACCAATCTTCTCTCTGACTCCTTCGTCAAAAATTAACTCGTAGATTTGCTATATTCTCTTAAAATACTCATTATACTTTTTAAAGAACATTCATAATACCTAGCTTTCGTTTATATGGATAAGTACCCATTTTTAATTTACTGCTTTATGTATAATGCCTTATTTTAATAGATTCTTCTCAAAATTTATTCTCTATCTAAAATCAAATAACCTATCTCATATATCACATATTCTAACAAGAATATATGTACCCAAATTGTACAAAAAATATCTCATATAATATTTTTACATCCATCCTTATGGAAATATCCTCATGAAATATTGACTTCTTAATGTTTTACAGGATAAATCCTAAACTCATGATTTAATTCTCTTGAATCTATTTAAATTTTCTAAAGTCTTAGTAAATGCGCCTGCAATGAAGTATGGAGAGAATTAAGAAACAATCGAGCCATTGATGTCAGGAGAATAAATGGAGATGTGTTGTGTGGCCTCGATGAATTCAATTGATTTTTAGCATCCCACCCTTGGGCCTTGGTAGTGTGGTCAAATATTTTGTGCCAAAAAATGATTATGTGGATGGCCTAATTTTTTATGAAATCAATGAGGATGATGTTGTCTGGAGTATCAGTCAGGTGAGGTCGGGTGCAGCTGGAGTAAATGGGTTCTCAAGGAAGATGATCAAGAAGGTGGGGGCCATCCACCAATGTCCTTGTCGATAATATAAATGCATCTTTGCAGCAGAGCAAGTTCCCTGAAGCGTGGAGACAATTGATACTCAGACCTATCCCTAAAAAATTAAAGCCTTCGGGTTACCGATTAATCATTCTATTGCCCGTTGTGTCAAAAATACTTAAAAGGATTGTTGAGAGGGACTTAAGAAGGCTTATTGAAGATAATGAAATATTCTCTCCATTCCAGTAGAGGTTCAGACAAGGGTGAAATACATGCACTGCACTGCATACAATTTTGACTGACGTGCATAGAGCAATGGACAGACGAATGGTTACAGTATTTGTATCACTCAACCTCACTAGGGCATTAGACTTTGTCGACCATGAAATGTTGCTAAGGAAATTTGGAGGCTTTGGGGTAGCCGAGCAAGTATTACAATGTTTAAGATCATATTTGATCGGACGGACCCAGTAAGTGAGAGCACATAACGATTGTTCGGGCGGCTGGAGTGCAGGTCGGGTGTCCTACAGGGTTCCACTCTTGGACCCCTATTGTTCTTTGGGTACATTAACGACGTTGTCATGACTCTGAAATACTATAAAATCCACATGTTTGCTGATGACATAGTTATCTGTGCTTCTGCATTGCCTGAGGATGTGGTTGAGACTATGCAGTGGGTTAATAACGATATTAATTCACTTCAGTGCTGGGCTCCTTCAAGAGACTCCACTTAAATTATAAAAAATACAGCTGGATGCTAATAGGGAGCCCTAAACTTGTTGCAAAAGCTGAGAAGGACATACTCCGATCTGGGAAAATGAGCATCCTTGGAGTGATGATGATCATGCTGATCTCGCAGTGAGCCGGATTTATAGCGTTATGCATTCTCTCTCAAAGTGGAAGGGACTATTGTCGACAGAAGTCAAAAAAGATAATTGTATCTTTGCTAATCCTCCCCCTGGTGTGGTACTGCAACTCTGTCTGCATTGACATATCAGAATAAGAAGATACCAGAATACAGAGGGCTCTCAACACCGCAGTCCGCTTCATATTTTGTTCAAAAAGAGAAGACCACATATCGCCATATATAAATGAGTTAGGCTGGTTGCGAGCAAAGGACTATAGAAGAAATAATTTAATGTACCTAGCAAGAAAAATTCAAGACTACGGAGATCTTAAGGAACAACCGGCTTCTGGCAGAGGTAAAACTGGCATCCTTCTTCCGCAGGGGTTGTATTAGGTGATTCCTTACCAAGGATCGGTCGAGTGCACAATAAAAATTCAAAGTTCGTACAATTACTCTCACCCGATGAGTTCTCTCTTATTCATTTATTTATCTTTTTCTCATTCTTTTCTCTCTTACTTTCTACTAATAATCTTATTTTATTTTTTTTATACATACCTAACATCTGTATTACATATATTTACTAACATTAAAATAAAAATTCAAGTATCTGTATCCAAGTAACATGTTTCCAAGCAACATCAAACACCCACCAATGAGTTATCAACATTTTGTATCCTGGTCTAAACATACCTTTAAGGGAAGACTGTTGCAAGAAAAGAAAGAAGAAAAAAAACAGCAAGTTAACAAATTTTGAAAACAAATATTTTGATTTTTTTTTTTTATATTCACACATATATATATTGTAGTAAAAATTATTTTGTCTATAGTAACTTTATACATTATAAATAAAGTCTATTTCATTATAGAAGCAGGAAAAGAAGGAGACACTTTTGATTTGAGGAAACATTACAATGCATAATAGGTTACTACAGGCATAACTTTGATAAAAGATTAAAAAACTCTTCAGTTTACAGAATCTGCAAAATTGGGCATGAGTTAGTGCGCAACTTAAAATTTTAGTAAAAAGTTCTTGCTTATCAGTTATTCATTTGTAGAGATTATATTGATGATTCTAATCCGACATTCATGAACTCTGTAATTAAAAATATATAACATTTTTGTATACATAAAGTATGCGTAAAATACATACCATCTTTTTTTCTACTTTTTGATATTTGGACCCTTATAGTTTGTGGCTCTGGTGAGGTAGGCAAAACAATTCTTCTCCTAACAGTAAGTTGCACTGTATTACCACTGTCTCTTAAGACTTGAACAGCAGTAGCATATTCAACTCCTTCAAGAGAGACACCATTTGCGCTCATGATTCTGTCATTAACTCTAAAATTAGATGAAAATGAAACAATAGTAAATTATATTTTTAAATTTTAAACATGTAAATTTAAAGACTTTGCAGTTAATAATACGTGAAACTTTACAAATCAAGAAACTCGTCTTTTTACATTTAATTGATTTACTTATTCATCAATCACTGTGTTTACCAGTGAATTAGGATTTTAAATACTCTACTGCTTCTCAACTGAACAATTAAAACTTCAAATGTTTTAATACATAATATGAAAGTTAGTGAAGTTTATAATTAATTATTTGCTGCTAAAACAAGGTGTCTAGTGTTTCTCTTCCGAAAAATTCTCGTACATTTTCCATTTGTTTCAAGTTTATTTTTTTTCGTATACTTCCCTGCTATGACATAGATAAGAAAAAGAAAGAAGCTTTTCTATATTATGAATTAAGTAATCAAATCAAATTAAACTAATGACTACAGCTGCCTGTAATGTAATGTTGACTATTATTGCAACCCACATATACTTGTGTTATAATTTTTATTTTATGTAAAGCATATTTGAGTACTGATCTATTGAAATAAATTCAAAGCAGTGCAATCTCACTAATCCAGCAGTAGTGGCCTTAGACTTTTGGCGCTTCCGGGCAATGACGTCATCTCTCCCCTAAAAAAATTAAATCTATTTCTTAAGTTGATTTATATTACGTAATATTTGAATTGTATATCATTCATTATTTCTCAAATACAGTTGCTTTATTACTAACCCAAAATTAATTATTTTAATAAATTTTTTATATATATTTTTGTAATTCTTAACAAGTAGTGAGTATCCCTGATGATCTGCGTCGCCAACGTCCCTCCAGGTCGGCACCCCAGGGCAAGTTCTTTCAATGCTCTAAATTCTAATAAGGAAATTTCAAGAGAAGTAAGAAGTAAAATGTATCAAGTAAGAATATAATGCATCTATGCTTACATTGGTCTTAAAATTGTATTGTTATTTAATATTTATTTAAAGCCATTTATACTTTAGGTTTTGGCATTAAAACAATATTATCATTATTCAAATAACCATCTAGAATGTAAAGAAAACAGATTAGAGTACAAAGTCATTGATGAACAAAATGGGCATGTGGAGCATGGAGCGCAGAACAAAAAAAATAGGTACATTTGAAATCACATTATCCAATTCAATAAGCTGCAACTTTGCTAGAAATGGTTCTATTTGGAAGATATTTTACTTTCACTTGCCTATATATGTAAGATAAAATAAGGGAAAGTATTGCGATCATGAAAATTTTCAAATCTGATTTTTCAACTGAAATAAATGTTTTGAGGTCCCCTGAGTTGAAGTAACTAAGTCCCACAAAATGGTTTGTGCGTGTCTGTGAACAACCTAACTTAAAAATGAAAAGTCGTACGAAACTAGAATTGCATATTTGATGGAAAGAGCGATGGCATAAAATATATGAACATAGTCTCAACCCCGTTTCAATCAGTGCCAGTCATTTGAAACCTTAAAACAAATTAAATAAGGTAAAAAATAGGAAAGGAAAAAAAAAGATAAAGTAATTGGAAAATTGGAAAACAAAAGAATATATTACTTTAGTTATGAATCGAGAGATTACAATTTACAATTAACCTAAACTATACAAAAATTATAATCATATGCATAATAAGTGAATTATTAATATTTCAAAGAAAACCAAAATGAAATTAATATGAATAATTTAGTTATTTAACATGAGTAATATTTTACTTGAGATAAAATATAAAAAACATATTCTGAATAACTTACAGTAGTTTTCCCTCTGCAGGCCCAGCCTTGAGTACATCTGATATAGCAATGGAAGGATCTCCATTTGTAAAATGAGGGTTGTCTCGACCACCACTAACAGCTATTCCAAAGCCATAGCCAGGTACCCTATTTAAGCTAACTTGATGAATTTCCCATACAACCCTTTCAGAGCCCTAAAAAAAAAAAAAAAAATTAACAGCCAATCAAACAAAATACACAAATTTTAGGCTTACAAATGAAGGAGGAAAAAATGCAAGATAATATAACATAATTAAATAATTCTTAGTTAATAAAAATAAGTATATAAATCGTATACTACCTTATCATTTAAAATTACATACAAATTAATGCAACAAAATTAAAATGAGGAAACATTTGAATAAAAATTATTTAAAAAATGGAATTGTTTCTTCGATCCAATTTCAGCAAGTTCCTAGATGTTAACCTAGTCATTCATTATTAAAAGTGTCAAGGTCAACATGTGTAAATTTATTGATTGTTATGGGGGAGAGAGGTTAGGTATGAATCTGTTTAACATTAAATTAATTTGTTGAAAATTTTCTAATTCATGTAGTAACTCTGTTTAGGCAACTTTCTGTTTTAATAAAAAAAGGAAAACAACTCTAATGAGTTCAACTTAGGTAACATTCAACATTATTTTGGCAATGGACAAGTTTTTATTGAAAGTGGTAGGTTATATTATTTATGAAAAGTAACTCACCCTTTCATGCAGGCATATATAAATGTTACTTGGCCTTCGAAGGATGAAGGGCGCCCTCCTCTAGGTCTTTCTTAGGTGGTCCTCTCAATTCAATTGCTCGGCCTCAAGTGGGAAGAGAGAGGCTTGTAGCTTAAGCCACTTAATTCTGGTGGTGGGGTGGCCAAATGGGCTAAAGAGTGTGCACAGCACCGCGAGTTGCCTGGCAACGTGATTACAGAGTTGAGAAGATTTAAAAAGTACGAGTTCGCGTCCCGGTGCCGGAGGGGATTTAAAATTCCCCGCCCTCACCCCCCGGCCCGGGAAAATCCTACAACTCACCACAAGGCGGCGTTCAGGTACACTTTTTCACAACTTTTTTGCATCAAAACTTGACTTATTTGAAGATGGTTAGAACCATTTCTAAACAAAATTATTTCACTCAGGGAAGAAAGAAAACGTAGTCTGCCAACCGGAAGTGGGTGCGTTCCGCCATCAGACGTGATTCAAGATCAAATTGGACAAGACAAAGTTTTTTATTTCTAAATTTGGCTTTTTCCAAAATAGTTAAAACCTATCCTGAATAAAACTAGACCACCAAGGGACCATAAAAAAAAATGCCAACCGGAAGTGGTCGCATTTCGCCGGTAGACGTAGGTTAGTCAACAATAATCTGCTTTCCTTTAAAGTTTATTATTTTTATATCTAAAATTATTCCATGCGGAGATAAAAACAAATCTCTTTCGTTCATAATTTTACTAATTTGATGATGGATGAAACCTTTCCTAAATAATACTATAATATTAAGCATCCCCATAGATAAAAAAAAAAAAAAAAAAAAACGAAATCCACCTACCGAAAGCGGCCGCGTTCGCTGGCAAACATAATTCAAAAACCACCGTACTAGCTTTAAAATTTTACTGAAGATAAATGGAACATCAAATAAATGAGATTTTTACCTAATAATGGGATAATTGTAATTCTTTATTAGGTATCATATGTCTCACCCATTTTTCTTCCCTGCGTGAATTTCAGAATGAATTCATATCCTCTCAACAAGAATAACTTTTCCACCTCAAATAATGTCCGGCGAATGTTCATCTTTAGAATCCATGGGATTAAATTCCTTCGGAAAGTAAAAATCTAATTCATCAAGGCATTCATTAAAACGCAAAAAAAAGACACTTTGCAAGATCAAATTTTGTTATGTCGAATAAGTCGAGAAGATTACGAGGCGAAAGGATTCTATTAATTTTACGTCTATGAATTAAGATATTTGAGAAAAGCAAGACAATTAAATAAGCACAATAAAACACGATGATAAGAAACTGGAAAAAGCTCAGTAATAGACTTTAAAGAACTAAGAGGTAGTTTATGCACTTGAAGGATTGCAAAATATTCATCTTGGTACTATTCTAAACTGGGGTGTCCAGAAGAGGGTGCAACTTGCGTCATCAAAATTTTTGAGGGAGGCATATTTTGGCGGGTTTTGGAATTTTTGAGAAGATGGGGCACATTTTGGCGGGCTTATGAATTTTCGGAATGAAGTTTCATACTAAGAGATAAGAAAAAAACATAGAACAGACCGACTGCAGCAAATGTAATTCTATATGATCTAAGATATGGATCAGGATGGATGGATGAAAATTTAATTTTTTTTTAATGAAACATCCTGAACGAGCAATTTATTAAACAAATCATTGGCAAGGAAAATGAATTTGTTTATATTTAAGTAAAAGTAGTGGATGAAATATAATAAAATTGATAGTCAGCTATTTGTAAGTAAGTCCCCATCTTTCCTCCAAAGCAATCAACAACTTGCCATTTTTTTTAAATATAAGTGTTTCAAAGAAAACATGTCTGGGCATGGATAGGAATTTGATGAAAATTGATTAAGGACCATTTACGTGCCTAAATATAAAATACCTATATTTTATATGTTGTAGGAATCATTGAACTCCTTTTTCATCTTCAGCACGGGCGGATCTACGGGTGGGGCTTTCGGGCTGAAGCTCCCCCCCCCCCCAAAAAATGGGAAATATAACCATGTTATATTTTAAAAATATCTCTTAAAGTATTATTGTTCGTGTAATTACATTTAAAAGGGCTTTAGGAATCACTTAAACGCCATTTCATATACGTAGTTAGTTTCTTTCTTTTTTTCCAAAGTAATTATCATTATTTTTATGAAAAAAAATTTTTCGGGCTGAAGCCCCCTCCAAAATTAAATTCTGGATCCACTAGTGATATTCAGGAATGATAATCTGCGTACAGGTCTCTTGTTGGATAATTTCTATTGTATATCGGAATAGCAAAACCGCGAAGAGAGAAAAATTCAAACTTAACTCTTAAGATTTTAACAGATATCAAAACAATAAATCAAATTTTGAACAGATTCGCTTATTCAGGTAGTTATAGTACTGTCGAAGAACTTAAAGAGTTTGGAGAGAAAAGATATGTCCCATCCTTCCACCCAGAAAAACAATCGTTGAACTCTTTCTTTATCGCCATATCAAAGTATCAAAATCAACCATAAAACAAAGGCACATCGTTACTGTTCAACACCATCAGTATAATAAAGTACAATAAACCATGCTCTCTTTTGATTTTTGTTTTTATATTTTTATATGTTTACACGGTCTTGTTTTATGATAGGTTTTTGATTTTTTCATGCATCTATAATGAAATAATGAAGGCTATTCAACCAGAGACCTTTGCAGATTATCAATCCTGGTGATAATGATTAAATTAAACGATTTTTACAACATATAAAATGTATATATTAATATCTAGTAGCTCTATAGAAGTACAAACTCTTCATAAGTACATCGATATCCATTATGTTTCTGAGCAGAGCATTTCTAATTTCAAAAAAGAAAGAAATGTTTTAAGAGATATTTACTAAAAACATAGGTATTAAGTATCATGTAAACATATACAAATATAAAAAAAAAAAAAAAAAGAGCATGGTTTATTGTATTTTATTATACTGATGGTGTTGCACAGTAACGATTTTTTTTCTGCATGTAAGAATGGGTTATATATTTTCTTTCCAAACTTTCCAAGTTCTTCGACAGTATTATACCTATTTGAATGAGCGAATCTGATCAAAATTCTAATTATTATTTTGATATCTGTTAAAATCTTAAGAGTTAAGTTTGAATTTGTCTATCTTTGCTGTATTGCGATTCTAATAAACAATAAAAATTATTCAACCCGAGACCTGCATACAGATTATCATTCCTGGAGATGATGAATGAGTTCAATGTTACTCACAATACATAAAATACATGTATTATATAAAACTTAAAAGTATTAACTCTTCAAAATATAATGTCTATCATATTTCTGAACAGGGTAATCCTTTTTCTTTATAAAAAAGAATACATTTCTTTCGGCAAGGTTTGTTTTAGACATGTTTCCATTGATACCCTTATATTTAAAAAAATGGCAAGTAGCAGTTTGTTTGAAGGAAAGATGAGACTAATCTAAAAATAGTGCAGTATCAATTTTATTATATTTCCTCCACTAATTTTGCTTAATTATGCACGTATGAAATATATTTTCCTTGGCAAGGATTTGTTTCTAAAATGGCTCGTACAGGATGTTTCCTTAAAAAAATTAATTAAATTTTCATTTATTTAAACATCTATAATGGACCCTACTAGGCAGATTTTGCGACCATTTAAAATCTTCTTTAAATTGAAATATACTTCGTTTAAAATCAAAATTTTAAAAATGATTTCATCCAGCTTTTGTTTGCTCCGAGGCATGCCAAAATTTATATCGTAAAGATGAACATTAGCCGGACAATATTTGAGGTGGAAAAGTTATTATTGTTGAGAGGATATGAATCATTCTGAAATCCATGCAGGGAAGAAAAGTTGGTGAGAAATATGATACCTAATAAAGAATTATAATCATCCCATTATTAAGTGATAGTCTTATTTATTTCATATTCCATATATCTTCAGTAAAATTTCAAAGCTAGTACGGTGGTTTTTGAATTACGTTTGCCAGTGAACATGGCCGCTTTCGGTAGGTGGATTTCATTTTTTCATCCATGTCAGCGAATATTACTATCATTTTATTTTTGAGATCTTTGAATGGACTAGTTTTATTTCGATGAGGTTTTATCTATCTTTAAATGGATCGAAGTTTGAAACTATAAAGTGGATTATAGACTCGTGTCTGCCATACGCTTACCGCCATTGCCAGGAAAATGCGGGCAATTCCGGTTTTCAGATTCTGCCAACAGAACTCACCCACTTCCGGTTGGCAGACAACGTTTTTTATATCCCTGGACTAGTTTTTTTTTTAGAAAAGGTTCCAACCATCTTCAAATAAGCCATGTTCTTATGCAAAAAAAGTTGTTTTTGAAGCGCGTCTGCCGGAAGTTTACAACCACTTCCAAATAGTTGATATTGGTGAATTGAAGTCCGATACTGAGGAATTGTTCTTCAGAACACATCTCTT